GTCGAATTTCTCGGCGGCTCGTGAAAGAAGAACTTTCATTCAGAAATTATACTTCGCACAAGCTCTCGCGCATACTTGCTACGATTCATCGAAAATTATAGATAGCGGTTTCGTCGGTTACGTTGGTTTCTTTCTGCCGATCGCGCGACTACGTACGGGCCGAGGGTAATTGATTCGAATGGTTCGCAGAGTTATTAGAATGTCCAACGTTTTGCGTTTTATTGCGCGCGCGCCCGCGCGGTGCTTCGGAGTCTCTATTTCATATTAATATAATTTGCTCGGTACGCGAAGAGAGGTTTCTCGTTGGTATCTTTCTAGAACTTCACTCTTCGAGGCTGAAGACGTTCCCTGTAATTCAATCCCGTACCTCGCCGGCGCGGCGGTCGGAGGATACGTTTACATGAGATTACTTTTCATCTAAAGTACGCTTTGAACTTCGCTACACGGTTGCTACATTCGTTCACGATAATACAACGTTTTCCCCGCTAACTGGCCGAAAATTCTCTGCTTTCTACTATCAGCTGCGTCTTCTCTAATTTCAACCGCCCAAGTTATAATACTTGAGCATGCCCCTTGATTAGTAAATCTCTCGATTAGCGCGCAATCGAAACTGCATGCTTGGTCGAGGAATCAATAGCGAATCAATCTATCATGTACTCAAAATTGAACCAATCACAATTTTAAAATAAATGTTACGAACAGGCTTGTATGTCGTAACTTGCACTGATTTCACGAACTTGGTTTACGGATACAGAACGCGATTCACGATGGGAAACATAATTAGAATCATCAATTTTAAGGGCTCGTCTCGTTTCTACGAAATTTGCGGTTTGAACCAATACCGCATCGCGTCCTAAATTAATGAAATTCATGCAAAATGGTTCCACGAATTTGCTCTGTTCTCATCGCCGCGTTCACAAGATTCGCTCGAGTCAGGCGAACTAATAAAAACGTAACTCGCGACGAAGCTGCGGGGATCGTCGTGCGAAATGAAGATTATCGGCACGAATTTTGTGTCCCCTTTTCAAAGTTCACCTACCCACTTTTACCGTAAATCCATAAAACGCGAGGCCCGCTCGTAACAGCGGCTAAATGAGACGCTAAGCGTTAGTCCGACGCGTTGAGATGATGTATCGCATAATAAACATACGCGAAAAAATGTGTTTGCCGCGGAGTCGCGCTAAAGCCAACAACAGAACGGCGATCGGTGATTTATTTCAGCAAAACCTAATAAAATCGCGGTAGGCTGCGGCGGCGCGTAGATCGCTCAACGATCGTCCGGCAGCCAGCTGGATCGCAAACAGAATTATTCACCGGCCGAACAAGTCGGTGTACGTGTCAGAATCCTTCGATCGCGATGTTCGAACGGATTAACCCGTCAGCCGAGCGAACAGCATCGTGTTTTCCGGCGTTACGGCCGATCGAAGGTATTCGCGCCGAGTTTACCCCTGCGATCGCGATCTCCATGAATCTCCGGTGCTACATCACGGATTAGCATCGCATTACCACCGCGGAACGAGCATGCGCGGCTACGGGATCCATTTCACGTAAGCCGAATTCATGAGGCCATGGCCTCCGGTTATGACAGTCGCAGCTTTCCATCACGGAAAGGACAACGCGGAGAGGCTTCACCGGGGTTCACCGGTCGTTTTTCCAATCCGCACCTCTTCGGGCACAAGTGTGCCGAGGGCGACAACGCGACGCGTCTCCTCTCCCTCTCTCTCCCTCTCTCTCTCACTCTTTTCTTCGTGTTTCACTCGTGTCACCCTTTTTCCTCCGTCGAATCTCTGGCCTCGAGACGATGCCGGACGAAGACGGAGAGAACGAACGGGTTGGGGAGCGCGATGGAGGGGGGAGAGGAGAGAGGGTTAGACGAGAGAGATCAGGTATCATGTGGAAAAAAAGAGCCATTGTACGGGAGCATCTGACCGTAGGGTAGGTACCACAGTGGCGATGTTCAGCGGGCAGAAAGAGGACGAAAGAGACACGAGGACTCTAGTGTTGTTGGTGTGTAAAGAGAAAGAGAGAGTAAGAGCGAGAGAGAGAGAGAGAGAGAGAGAGAGGGAGACCGGTGAACCTGGCGGAGGTTGCCACGGCACACACACGGCGAGGACGAGACCAGGGATGGTGGAATGGAACGAAAAGGGAAGGAAAAAAGAATGCGCGAGAACGGGAGAGAGAGAGAGAGAGAGGGAGACGGAGTGCGCGCACCGAGAGCGTTGGCAGTTTATAAGGGTCCCCCGTATTGTGGATACGTATTATCATGCTAAATATAACATGTTAACTACTTCGCATAATGCCGGCCCCGCGATCCTCTCGATTCTACCCCGTCTACGACCGTTCGGCGAATCGCGTTTCCGCGCCCAGAAAATTTTATTGCCGGCGTATTCGGCAGATGCGGCGTCGATATCTTCGTTCCCAGAGTGCCCCGGGACTCGGCGGAAAATACGATTGTTGCAGCCTGTTACCATAAACTTTTTAACGGACCTTCTCGCCGCTGTAAAACGATTCGGTGCTGTGCTAGGATTTCAGATGATCGAGGACTGTATCGGCTCGCGTGCACGTGAATTCGTTCGGCGTGGTGGAGTTTATGATTAGAGCTTTCATGGGACACTCTGTTGTGTTCCCACGTCCATGGGAAAATTCATACTTCCGAGACGTCCGTTCGGGAACCGGAGAATTAAAGTACTTCTTTCAAGGATTTTATGTAAAGACGTTACATTCTGTCGTACTATATTATTGTCGAATTTGTAAATCGATCGAATCCTTCGGTGTTCATGATTTTGGCTTTTATAGGAGACTTTTCGCTGCGTTCTTTTCGTTCGTGGGAATTCGTACTTGCGACGTCCATTCGAAAACTGGAAAATTGAAGCACGTATATAACGATGAATTCTGACGTTTTTCAAGGTGAAAAGACTGTCCAAGTATGAACTCGTAGAAAAACTTGGAAACTGTTCATTGTATATGTATAGTGCGAAGCACATAGACGTCCATGCGCCTAAAAATTTAAGCGTGTCGAATCATCTCCAGTAGCACAGGGCTAAATTCTTTTATAAATCTATGATGAACGAAAACACGTACAAGTTGGTTCTACTTGAAAGAAAGTCTAACAAAAGTGAATCAAAGGAATCAAACGTCGCGAAAGATCCCAGCAATAATGAATTTTACTGCGAAAAGTAGATGAAAGGCTGAGAATCGATGTAAACAAAATAAACGTCCGATTTCCAAGAAAACACTTAGATCGGCGCACGGAAGATAAAAACTGCGCATGGGAAGATTAACAGAGAATCGACGATGCCAAACGTTTTATCGAATCATATGTTTACAGTTAATTGGAAATATTGTTTCAGAGTAATATAAAATCCATCCCGATCAGGATAATAATAGGCTTTCGTGTGTCGGATGATTGGATCGGTCGTTCGTTCGCCGTCCGTTCGAATCGTTTGCGATTCGAAGCCGGCTGATTCTCGCGGCTCGTGGGAAGTTATAATGTTAATATGGTATTAACTAACGAGCCGAGCGATTTATGGCAGGGATCGGGCGTTTATGACGAAGCGATGGCATCTCGATCGACACCGCGATTTCTGCGGCACATTTGTCATCGTGGACTACCATCGCGGCGACGATTATCATCGCGCTGCCAGCGTAATGACGTTCGAGAAAAGTATAATTAATTCATAGATTTTCAAGGTCCGTCACGGCGAATAAATACGTAATGTGTCTCGTCAATAGCGTTATGGCCGGGCTCGAGCGCGTCTCGCGTTTCGCAAGAGGCTGCTTTTCACGATAAAAATCAAGATAAAGACACCCGCGGAGAAATATCAATGGTCTCCAATCATTACTAAATATAAACGATAAGCGCATGCCTATCTGTCGTTAATTAATTACGCGGCGATTCGCCTCGCGGCTGCGGACAACATAATTAATAAGCCGTCGGTGGACAAACCTTTGGGTCACATTTCCAATCTAATCGAATTACTCTTTACGGCTTTTTCTCTTTCTAAATCGTTGATCCAATTGTCGCAGTGCCGTTCTTATTTGTCGACCAGCATTTTCGTTAACTTCGGCAGCAAAACAGTTTTCTACATTCTTGGACAATAATATAAATTGATTTCGGAGGCATGAAGACACGCGTTGAAATCAGAGATAAACCCGAAATGAAATTCGCGAAACCCGAATTCGAAACTTTCTTTTCCTTTCTTGTCCACGAAGTATGTATTTTGTCAGGAACCAAAGTCTTGACAAATTCTTCCCAGAGAATCAAATTATTTATTGAACACGATTAGATGAAGAATTGATTGTGGTTATAATTTAATTTGTTCTCGATAGCAACGATTTCAACGAATTGGTGCAGTCGTACCGATTAAAATGTGTCTAAAGTCTAAACAAGAACACAGTTGGATGATTAGTAACTACTAATTAAATAAAAGTAAATTCATATCGTCACGATATTCTCGTAAACTCTTTATACAAATTATTATTCGCCCGAGTTTTGGGAGTATCGAATCACAAAAATAGCACAGAGTTCCGAGTTTCGAGAACCGTGTTTCAAGGAGTTCTCGAGATTTCGAGTTGCCCATCCGTATAGCGAAAACCCTGATTTCCGACTACAAGATCGTAGAACGTAGAAAATTCTAGCACTGTCTCGCCTTCCATGGTAATTCAATTTCGAAACGGAAGACCTCCGATAGAGAATCCCTGAATAATACGCGTCCGAATAAAATACGCGTCCCTCCGAAAAACGACATCCGGAATAAACACAACAAGTTAATGTTACCGACGAGATGCGTCAAGGATGCGAGAAGGTCCCGCCGCTTCCTGCCAATAATCCCGAGAACCATCGAACCCCCGGGGACTTGAGAACGATCGAAGGCAACGCGCGGTTCGTCGCGGATTCGCCACGCGTACTTAGCATACTCGATCGATTCCTCGGAGCTCGAAAAGTCGGTCAGGAGTAAGAGGGGTCCCGCTAAAGCTCGATTCTTCACGGACTGTTGAAGGGGTGTGATGGGCCCGAAGCTGCTGGTGCAGGAGGCGCCTGGCTCCGGTTCCGGCTCGGCGAATCGCATGGAAGGCGGCGAAGGCGCCGGGGGAGGGGAGCTACACCACTTCCTCCATCAGTACAACCAGCAGTCCCACAGTCCGGGCCAGAGCCTGCAAGGCGGCCTTCCGCTTCCGCTTAGCCCGCAGTCCCTCAGACACGACGGGTCCTCGAGCGCGGGCATCACCGGCGTCAAAAGGGAACCCGAGGACCTCAGCTCCTCCAGAGGGGCGCAGCAGTCCAGCAAGAGGCACAAACAGGCCCAGCCGGACAGTCCCACGCCACCAGGGATGTACCATCATCATCAGCATCAGCTGCAGGTGAGTTTCGTCTTCTTCTTCTTCTTCTTCTTCTTCTTCTTCTTCTTCTCCTCCTCCTTCTTCTTCTTCTTCTTCTCCTTTTCCTTCCTCTTCTTCTTCTTCTTCTTAGTCTTCTACTCTTTCACAATACCTTCGCCCTTTTGCTGCTCGGTCCAACAATAGTGGGCGTGCTAATCGGTGAGCCGCTGTACTTGGATATTATCCGCCGGTGAATGAGCTGCGCAAACTACCATTGTGCCTTCACAGTAGTCGCCGCTATTTCACCCTAGTAAGGTACTAATTTTTCTCAAAAGAACACACGTACTTTGTTCATTTCTTGCATCGTGTTAGACCGGCGACGAGCTCGTTCCTTCCGGTAAATTGTTAACGAGGAAAAAAACTTTTAAAAATCATAACCGTGGAAGGAAACTGTTTACTTTCGACGTGAAGTATTACGTCGTATATCGTGACACGAGTCGTTGACACTAGGTTAACTCTGTACCTGTCAAAATGACGGGTTCCAAATCTTTTCATTTACATTTACGTTGAATATTAATAAAGATTCCTTTTGTTGAAGAATTTATACATTAAATTTGTGTCTCGTAAATATCCAAGTCAATATATTGTTGTTACGTCAGATCGTTCACGATCGTCGCAATCACGATTCAAACGTACGGACATCGCGTGCGACGGACCTAAACGAAGATCTTTCATGAATAAATCACGAGCATCGACGACACGAGACAATAGGACGCTGTACTGCCACTGACAGTTTCGAACTTCTCCAACTAAGGCGATTTCAAACACGACCACGGACCAATCAGGACAACGGTAATTCGCGAAACTGAAAAGAACACGATAAACAACGGGACCGAAAAGAACAGGATAAATAGCAAAAGCGAAAATACCTGAAAAACGTCGCGATCAAACGCGAATCTGCGCCTTGTTTGTTAAGTTTCGATTATAATCTATCAAACATTCTAAATTCATTTCAACGAGGAATTGTTAACCCTCCAACCGTGGGTTAAATTCGCGTTCTAAATGTTTTATAAAATTTTGCAAGAAAGAACTTTATTTATTGAATATTAAGTGTTTTTAAAATTTTGTTACTTTTGTTTGTCACTTTATATCTTTTTTTTACACGTTGAGCGCGGCGTCAGCCCCCTAGGGCTGACAGTGGACTTTCTGTTTGGGCGGTGTCAGTCCTCTTGGGCCGACAGTGTACTTTTTTTGAACGGCGTCAGTTCTCAGGAACTGGCTGCGAACCTATCGTTTGGACGGCATGGACGCATGAGAGCAGCAGTATCAAGATTAAAAAATAATGCCGGAACTACCTAAACGGAAAATCCTGCAAAATCGGCTCCGCGCTTAACTTGTTAATCTAATTCTTAGGACGTATCTGCATAGCAACCTAAAACTCACGATTTTATACCGAAAAATCAAAAACTTGCCTGCGGTTAGAGGATTAAATCTTTGCGCTCGAGTGGTGACTCTGAGGCACCACTAAAATTTGTTATACCACGTTCTAAGATAATTTTTATACTAACAAAGCTAATATAACCCAAGACACAATTTCGTATGCATGAAATGTACTTTGTTATACAAAATCAAAATACTATAAGTCGGAAAAATTATTTTAGATTCACGGTTAAAATAGCTTCGAATGCAAAGGGTTAATATCCAAATTCGGCATGCGAATTTGCAATATTCGAGGAAGCAAGATGTGTGCAAAGTAATACAAAATACTTGCATATACAGGGTGTTCAGAAAAAACCATTCAATATTTATATATGGTATATAGATATATTATACTGATATTGTACTGAGTAAAAAAGCTTTAGTAAACGCAGGTCGAAAGGTCAACTGAGATATAAACATTTTTATTTGTTAGTATCATGATTGACTTACTACTGAATTTTCGATGTTTATAGAAGATTTTCCACGCGTCCACCATCCATTTCTACACACGCTTTGCATTTTCTCGTTACAGACTCGCGAACTCTCTCGAAAATTCCACATTTCTGTCGAATTGTTTGACAAGCATAGTGGATTCGGTTACGTAATTCTTCTAAGTCATTTATCGGCGAGGAATACGCTAGGCATTTTAAATATTCCTATAAATAAGTCAATCATGATACTAGCAAACAAAAATGCTTATATCTCAGAAACGGTTAACCTTTCGACCTATGTTTACTAAAGCTTTTTTACTCAGTACAATATCAGTACAATATATCTATATACCATATAGATATTGAATGTTTTTTTCTGAATACCCTGTATATGCAACTATTTTATATCACTTTGTACATCTTGCTTCCTTGAATATCGCAAATTCGCATGCCAAATTTGAATATTAACCCTTCGCACTCGAAGCTATTTTAACCGTGAATCTAAAATAATTTTTCCGACTTGTAGTATTTTCATTTTGTACGACAAAGTGCATTTTATGCATATCAAATTGTGTCTTGCGTGACGTTAACTTCGTTAGTATAAAAATTATCTTAGAACGTGGTATAACAAATTTTAGCGGTGCCTCGGAGTCACCACTCGAGCGCAAAGGGTTAATCCTGTAACCGCAGGCGAGTTTTCGATCGTTGATTGAACAGTATTTTTTAACAGCCTGTATAGCACTAGAGAACATCCTCTGTAAAAACTAGCGTGAAGAAAGTCTGGAGCTTGTCAGGTTGTTTCGTAAGCAGAACCGCGGAGCCTTTAAATCGCATTATTTCCGGTAACGAGTAATAAAATCGAAAGTCGATAATCGATGAGGCACGTCACCCGAGCAGCAACAAGGGGGAAAAGAACGACGCCTGGCCGACGACTTCCCGCTGGTCGCCCGGCCCGACCAAAACGATCGGAGGATCCATCAATCCCGCTTGTAATCGCAGCCGGCGCATCGAAGTAATCAATCACCAATTACAGGTGCAACAGTACGGAAGCCCCTACGACCCTTACAGCTCGTGCAGCCCCCGATTGCAGTCCACGGCGTACACGTCGACCTCGGCGACGGGCGCAGCGAACGCTGGGAACCCGACCGGTCTTCACCAGGACGCGACAGCGGTCTACGTCACCGGGGACGCTCTGCCGCCGTTGGCGTCCTCGAGCTCGTCCTCGTTGTCGACCACGACCGCTTCGTACACGAGGTACGAGGTTGTGCCAAGCTCTTACGCGACGACACACGCGATACGCTCGTCCTCGAGCAGCAGCAAAGTCCTGACCGTTGATCTTCCCAGCCCCGACTCCGGCATCGGCGCCGACGCGGTCACACCCAGGCAAGATCATCATCCACCCACGGCGCTGCATCAGGTTAGTCAGACAATGATCCCGATCTTTTGTTCGCCATGCGACCCTTCGGCGCGCCGTTCGGTTCCTGTCTTATTCGCCGCAACGGAATCTCGGTAATCCGAAACGCGAAACTCGCGGTCGAAACGTTTCACGTGGAAACAGCCCGGCGATACGTAAGTAGACTGCCAGAGTTTATGCATTCGAAATTTAACCAGTTAGCTGTGGCGCCTCCTCTTTCAGAACGCGTACCTACACGCGTCGCGAGAACTAAGCGACGACGAGTATACTCGTCGAACATAGAATGAGTGTCGCTGTTAAAATATTGGATCGAAAACACGGTTTTATTTGATGAAATTAACCATTTTATTATTAATATTTACTCGTTCACTTGACATTAACATATACTGCATACATAATATACGAAATACGCAGAAGAAATCAAATATTTAGAACAGTTAAAGAAAAGCAAGCAAGGAAGCAAGGAACGAAATATTAGGTCTACCGGAAAGTTCTGTCTGATAATGTCATTGCAAATTTCAATACATATGCACCTATTCATTTGAGACATATATTTTTAAAAAATGTTACTCACAAATTGCCGTCACGCTGGCAAGAGGTCATAAGTAACGACGGAAATTATATTATACAATAAATATTACTAAATTTATGAAAAATCTATTATTTCCTTTCATTTCTCAAACGGACAGAACTTTCCGGTAGACCTAATATATTAGCATTTGGCACGTCGAACATATTCTGAACGTCTTGAAATTTGAGAATATGTTTTTGTTTTCACTAAAATTACAATTTAAATAGCCAATGGTCACTAACTTTTTACGCATGACGAGTATACTCGTCATGACACAAAATACTGTCACTTCTCCATGACGAGTATACTCGTCAAACATAGCTAACTGGTTAAAGATGTTTGAGAACGTTGTTCTACTGCTTTTATTCTATGAAAACGATCCTTTCAATCGATGTAGATTATGTTTTTATTTTGCATGGAGATCCACGATCTTATCGGAAGTAACGCATGGACGATTGAGGGATGAACAAAATTGAGGGTTTTCATGATTTGTTCGGATAATCGAGGTTCTACTTACTCATACTTTCCTCGGTTTGCACTTTGGGATTACATTGTGACACAGTAGTGTGTGAATAATTATGGACTCGAGGTAATTTTTACATTTTTAGTGATGTTTAGGCGGCATACAGTAATGTCTCTCTAATTGACGCTCGGATTGTCCACAAAAATAGACAATTTTGGGAGAGGAGATACGATTGTTCGAGCCTTGTGGCTCCTTTTTTATGATTATCGATTATCAACAACTGTGAAAACGAGCTGCAAGGCTCGAACAATCGTATCTCCTCTTCCCAAATTCTCCATTTTTGTGGACAATTTGATCGTCAATTAGGGAGACATTACTGTATTTGTATATTTCTGTATTAGAAATAATAAAAAATAGAAATGTACGAATACAGTAATTTCTCCCTAATTCGCGCGAAGATTACGCACAATAATGAACAATTATTCGGGTCCCGCGGCTCGTTTGTACAGTTGTTAACAATCGGTAACTATGAAAGCAAGCCGCGAAGCCCGAATAATCGTATCTCTAAATTGTCCACTTTCGTGCGCAATTTGAGCGCGAATTAAGGATAAATTACTGTATAGTTTTTTGTTTGGGGTTGGGGGTGAGATTGTTCAAATATCAGTAACAATGTAAAATTTAACTTTGAGTCTGTAATTATGCACACTGCTGCAGATACGTCTGTGAAATGATGTGCATTAAAACATAGAATTCTTGGATGACAGTTATGGATGACAATTAACATGTTTGCACGTTTGTCATATCTGAGTTACGAGTTTCTTCGATCAGGTTTAATTTCGAGTTTCCAGTTTGAAATTACGAGAATTTTGATGATTGTGATTTGACAGTCAACATGTTAATTAAATGATCGTTTGTTAGTACATTCTGTACAAGAGAAGTAATTTATTAAACCTACTTTCTAGACTTGTTTCATGATATTTGGAGCTTTGATCCACTTTCTAATGAAAGTTTATCTAGTTAACATATTCTTTAGATTTTCTTGCTTTGTACTCCACTTTGACGCGCAACTTTATACATTTACAATGTGCAAAAGTTTAAATTTACTATATTATAAATTTATATATTATATAATATATTATATTATATATTTATTAAATTCTAATTCAATATTTAATGGATTGCGAAACGCGAGATATAATAACTTTTTAACCGATTGAAATTCCTGGTTAAAAAGAAAAAGAGAATTTCTGCAGAAATACGAATTAGCATGTGGCCAAGGCTAAAGATTGAGAATGGAATAACACGTGGAGTAACATTTTCGGTCGCTATAGAAGGTAGGTGATCGATAATCTCGTTGCTGGTGACCGTTTAAGTGGCACTCGTGCAGAACCATCCTCGATATTTGCACGTGCACTTTCCCCGGGAACGGGCCCAGCTCCCCTCGCGATCACTTTCCATCGCGTTGATTTCGTGCCCAGACACCGTAAAGATGTTTTGATCGCTTCTAACAAATTAATCGGACAACACCTACCGTTAACCCGTTATCGTCGTCGTCGTCGTCGTGCCCCCCTCCTCCCATCTCGCTAGATATAACTTCTTCCACGTGCAATAATTTTCTGCACGCTCTCTTGGAACAGGACTTAACACACGGGGCCGGTATACGACACGAGCGTTTTACATAATCAGCAACGCATATCTCGCCGGGATACTGACACATTTATTTATACCCGATGAGAATCGTATAATACGGGGCCACTTCTTTTACACGGTGTCGCGAACGCGTTACGCCTGCGCTCCGGTCTGTGGGTGGAAAAGGAAAGTTCCTGTCGAAAAGCTGCCCTTCACGATCGTCGATCGCTATAACGAAAACGTTGCTCCCATCGGGCCTCTTTAGCGACTCCTTCGAAAGAGATTGTCCATAATTTGTAATCTCTTTTAGTATTTCAATATTTCATTCTTAAGTCTTCTTTGGGATCTTTTTTACAATGGCTTACATTGGTTTTTGCATACAGTTTTCATAGTACTTGCGATAGAACATTGTATATTTGTTTGAAGCGAAAATATTTAGAATTCTCCGAGATACATCTCTTTGAACGAAGACTATAATGAAAAATGTGTTTCTCGGACTGACATGATTCCAACACTGTACAAGTTTTGTTCTCGCAGCTTTCTTTCTGCTTTTTGACGTACAGAAAGATTACAGAAAATCAAGATTTATTGATAATTATAGTGGCGACGGTAGCAACGAGTCTACCGAAAATTATGTCTGAAGGTGTCATTAGGGTAATTAGATCTTAAGATATTGTGTCAGAAAATATCTATAACTCCACTATTTTTACGAATTAAACACGATCATTTTGCAGCAATGTTTTTAAAAGCATACAGTCCAAAAAATTGCAATTAAAAGTTTCGTTTTTTGCAAACTTCTGAATCAAAATACTTCCATAAGTAAAATCTTGGAAAACTTCATGTAGCGATGCACGTTAAATTAGTGTATATAGAACAAGGCAACAAGATCAGAAAACTATTACGTAATGACGTTTCTACTTCCTCTGGAAATTAACGAAGCACGAGCCACGAACCAATTTCCTCATGAAATTTTTGATCACTGAGATTGACGATGTTTCGATTATTCTCTGGTCCTTCGGTATTTTTTCAAAACAGACCACTAAACAGCAATTAATTCTTTCGTAAAGTCAGAGATACTCGCAGAATCACTGAACGCGATATTTAAAACAGCAATGATAGAGCTCGCATAACGTCAATTTGTCTACGCGTTTGTTTACGAATTCAAGGCAAGTTTGAGCACGGAATCCACTCGAAGCAAGATTTTCAATGGAGATTTATGTAACGATTGTCGTTACGGTCGCGATAATATGGAAATACAGTTACATCAATCTAAATCTGCTGCTAATTATCGCCACGTGTACGACCAGAAACGTCAATTAGTGTCCTTTGCGAAACCACCGAGCGTGTAAAATTAATTATGATCGGTATTGTGCTTCTGTTACTGTCTGCGCTACACGTGGCACTATTATTTAAACCGTTTGAAAGCAGCTTACGATTACAAATAAAGTAGGACTCGACACAGTCCCGCTCCACTAATTACCGACTAAAATCGCGAATTCCTTTGACGGTGCATTTCGAGCAAACTCGAGTGCCCGTGGACTCGAAACAAAGAATTTGCTGCTTCTATTCGTACAAACCGCTAAAACAAATTCCGCCGAGAAATGTGTGACACAATAATCGCAAGCTTCGCCTAGACAGTGCGTCGACTAATTAGTTGGCACGAGGTGTTGCGGAAATCGCCTATCGCCGGCCGGTTTGTCCGAAATTGCTTCGCGGAGCGAAACGATCGGCGACCGAAAAAAACGTCGACGAGCGAAAAGCGAGCCGATCGGGAAAACGAATTTCACCGGGGTCTCGTGCCGCGCGCTGCTCGAATATGAATATTTTAATTACCTCGCGGACGTATCGGTTTTCAAGCGGCTTGTTGCCACGCACGCGCGTCGACGTTACTCGGAGGAGCCCCGGCTTTTATTTGCTGCGGCGTGCAAGCAGAGCAGAACGGAACGCGTGCTTTCTAATTCGTAATGTCAACCGCAATGCTAATGACTTACTCGCGCGGATAAACCGCTCTGCCCCCGTCGCACGATTAATGTTTCCGGAAGCGGCCGATTACTAGCGACAACCGAATCGCGCGTGGGAGTGATGAATCGGTTATGGCACGGCGTGGAAGCACCGGACGCGGCGAAAATTACGCGACAGAAACGCCGCGGGCGCACGATTTACTGTAAAGACGATACCCTCGGCGATACCTAATCGCTCCGGTCTAGCCCATCGCTCAATAAGTCTCCGGTCTAGCTGAGAAAAACAAATTTTTCTTTTAGAAATTCGACTTTATTCGTCAACATACTCTTCTTCAAGAGTGATACATTCGTTCCAACGCTCCTCTAACTTTTCGATGCCTTTTTTGTAGAACGATTTGTCTTTGTTCTCAAAATAGACCTCCGTTTCGGCAATCGCTTCAGCATTCGAGCCAAATTTCTTTCCCTGGAGCATCTTTTTAATGTCTGCAAGAAGCCGGTAGTCGCTGAGGGCTAGATCTGGAGAGTACGGTGGGTGGGGAAGCAATTCGAAGCGTAATTCGTTCAATTTAACCATCGCTTAACCGCGCTCCGAATCGTCGACACGTTGTTGTTTTTGGTCCGGTGCGAGCAAACGCGGCACCCACTTCGAAAGCAATTTACACATGCTCAAGTTGTTGTGTAAAATTGTAAACACGCTACCTTCTGACATCTTTAAGGGATCAGCTATTTCACGAAATTTCACTGTACGGTCTTTCAAAACTATTTTGTGGACTTTTTTTATGTTTTTCGGAACAACTGCCGATTTTGGGCGACCAGAGCGTTCAGCATCATCGGTGTTTGTACGACCGCGTTTAATTTTAGCATACCAGTCGATAATAGTTGATTTCCCTGGCGCAGAGTCTTCTTAACGCTTATTAAGCCACTGTTCGGCTTCAACAGTATTTTTCCCCATCAAAAAACAATGTTTAATCGATACACGAAATTCTTTTCTAACCATTGTTTTGAAAACTACAAAACTGGGGTCACTAAAACCACTATAACCCGTAAACTAATCATCAGAATGTCATGAAATTTTGACATGTATCGTTTGAAGAATGCTACCACCCAGAAATCATATAGGTTTGTCAACAGTGTTGCCATATATGTGTCAGACCGGAGACTTATTGAGTCACGTGTTACTTCGCGGAAGCTTTTCCGCGCCAAGCTTGCGCGCCGAAGCTGGTCAAAATTTGCAATCGAATACAAACAAGCCCTCGTCGCGTTCGAATTCGTGGACAGAGCAGCGTCCTCGTTCAAAAATAGAGAATATGTCTACTTATTCGATAACTGTAAAGTTAATCATGTCCGAAAACAAACCGAAGACAGAGAAATTGGTCACGCCGCAGTAACCGGTTCAATTACCCTACTAGTACTTAGCCTGAGAAATTAGATCGCTGATGAGCTGATTTGGCCTCAGATCGACTTGCCACTTTTTTCTGTTCCCGAACGACGAGCGTTGAGAACATGATTGGTTATTGCAAGGAATGCGGATCGAACTGCGGATATTTATGCATTTACGGCACAGTGCATGAAAACATTTACGATAGCGAGTGCCATTAACATTTCACTACGCCGATAAGAATCCACGAAAAAAATCAAACTCTCCTTGAGAACGTCCACACGGTCCACGGATAATACATACTTCGATGAAGCGATTAAGACGACCGCGCAGGTGCTGCGGCTTAATACGAAGTGTCATTATGTTGCAACAAAGTATGCTTTCATCCTGTTCCCCTTAATAGCGACATTAAGGTAATTCAGGCGATTCGACGTTACCGTGAACGCGGCACCACGACCTCGGCGCCAGTTAAATCACCGAAATCACCGGTTTCGATCCATTAAATCGGAATCACCGATTCCGCGCTCCAATTTTTCCGCGACTCTCTGCGGGCTCGGACACGATAAAGAAACCGCGCGAATTTTTTTGTATCTGGATAGAAAGCCGACCAAAAGAACACGAGAGGATCGGCAACGGAGCAACGGCGGTCGCGTAAACCAAGCGACCGCGGTGAAAAAAAACCGCGAGGGCCGGGAAAAAAAAAGCGGCTCGATCATGTCGATCGTTTGATCGTTCGACACGGCTAATAATACACCAAACTTTGTTCCGATCGTAATTCCGCTCGAGGCGTGCACACGGGTGTATTGCCTGTCACCGTGCAAGAAACACGTGGAAACACGTGTCCGAGCACATGCGTTCTTGCCTGGCATCATCGGCCGCGGAGGGAGGAGGGAAGAATGCATAATAGTCCGAGCATATACGCGCGTATAGGAGCATAGGAGCGATTCCGGCCGCGCGACGCAATTAGATGAATCGATCGAGAAAAAGCTCGAGCGCCGTCACCGGGGATCGCGGGGCAATTAATCGCGAAGGCGTTCGTTCGTTCGTTCGTTCGTGTTTATCTCGAGCCGCTGCTCGGCGCGTTCGTTTTTCCGTCGCGATGGCCGTCCGCGGCTGGATATCTATCCTGCAAGCGCGATCGAACGTGGAAGCTCTGCACACCGTTTCCAACATAATTAGTCGGAAGCCAACGGAGCGCGGCGGCTTCGCGATAAAATGGCCGAATGATTAGAGGGACGCGGTGGAATAGAGCATTATTTCTAATTACGGATCGACGCGGTATTAATTTATCGGCGTCCGATGGGAGCCGGGCGGGGGCTGGTCCGCCGATTGGCCGGCGTCGTTCGCCCGCGGAAAAACCAGCGCGATCCGTTTCCTCCGCTTCGACCAACGCTCTCGATGGATGGCTTCCGCGATGCCGTTCGTCAGCCCGAGTAACGAGCTTATGGTAACCGCGTTACATTCGAGGCGAGCCGCTCCATGAAGACGTACGAGGGAATAAACCGTTCGGGAGACCGCTTATTAACAAACCTCCGCTGGAAGCACGCGCGGCCGGTCCCGGCCAATTTTACGAGACCGCAAGGCCCCCATTCTATTCTACCCGGGCTTCTTCCTCCTTTGTTTCGCGGAACGACCTCTGCCCGACGGGGATAAGCCGTCGGCTACTTCAGGGCGGACTCGGCCCAGTCCTCTTTTCCCCCTTTCCTTCCCCTATGGGAAAGTTGCTGCTTGTTGCGATCCCCGCGATAGATTGAATTCCAATGGTCGTAACGCCTTGCCCGCTCAATCTCAACGATGTGATAATTGTACGCTCGCGATCCGCGGAGCTCCTCGGGAAGGACTAAGTATCAAACTACAGTAATGTCTCTCTAATTGACGCTCGGATTGTCCACGGAAATGGACAATTTGGGAAGAGGAGATACGATTATTCGAGCCTTGCGGTTTGTTTTCATAGTTACGAATTGTCAACAATTATAAGAACGAGCCCCGCAAGGCTTGAATAATCGTATCTCCTCTCCCCAAATTGACCATTTTTCTGAGCGTCAATTAGAGAGAATTTACTGTATTCGCAAAATCGCAATTTCTTTCATATTATTGCAGTTATGCCGGCAGTAATTGAAAGAAGTCAGCAAAAACCGGTCAGACGAGACTGAAACTTCTCTTTTCACTGCGATGAAACCCCCCAGAAAATTCCATAAAATCGAAAGATCTTTTATGTAAACGTTCCGATGTGTAGGTGTGCGAAGAGTTGATGAATTGTATTGACTGTAAATATAGACATATTATCCAGTTAGAAAATCCGAGTGTGCCACGACGCGTAGATTGTCAGCCACGAAGGAAGCGCGGTAAACGATGCACAAGGATGATTACTCGGTTCGGATGACCGACCATAATTCGAACGCGATTCAATTGTTTTGTGCACTGATGCGTTCGTAAATCTATTATTAACGTACCAGTTCGTGAACTCAACACATGCACGACTTAACAGCAATTGAAATGATTCGACAAAAGCATTTGTTACGATGAAAGAAAAGACTGGCAATCAGGAAAATCCCATAAAATCGATAGAAAATTGAATTTTTATTAAAGTGAAAATTTAAACGTAACGATCATTCCTCTAACATCGTAGATCCTACAGATCCTAATGAAATTCGGTTTACGTCAGCCATGTAAATGACGAGAAGCGATTCTCTATTTTCTAAACGAGATGGCAAACATCGTTAGTCAATAAAAAATCTTATTAAAGACCCGATCGATCGATACTCCGGTTAGTTAACACGATCCGGTGATCTAACAAAGTTTGCAGAAATGTTAATCGAGCATTCGGTTCTGATCACGCAGTCATCCTTCGACTACACGGAGTTGTGTCCCGGTGGAACGGCGACTGGAGCCGCGGTGGTCCTCGAAAGTGGCGCGGTGATACACCATCAGCCGCTGCAACTGCAACTACAACAGAGCCATGCCCAAGCGCAGGTGCAACGCGGAGCTTTGGTGTCCTCGGCTGCAACGAACCCGAACCCCAACCCGAATCCTCCGAGGTCGCGACCTTGGCACGATTTCGGGAGGCAGAACGACGCGGACAAAATCCAGATACCAAAAATGTAAGTGCCTGTGCAGACAATTCTATTTTTATACAAACATATATTGCTTTTAAATTTCGCTTAGACCTGTTGGGTTTAATTGCTTCTTAATTAGGACATGAGTTTTTGCCGATTTCTTAGAAACTTGGCATTATCGTGGGACGAATACATGATAATTTAAAATTTTATCTGTCGAAAGACTAAATTCTTTTATGACTGCGTTGATGATTATATATATATATATTATATAATTATGTTATATTATTATATAATAATATAATTAATATTATTAATAAAAATTATTATATATATATTAATATTATTAATATTGTTATATAATAATATAATTGTATTATATTATTATTATTATTGTATTATATTATTCAAGTCAATTTACTTCTTTATTTAAAACTTGCTAAAACTTCTATAATCATTAGACAATTCTTTGAAGAATTGTACAGAAATTTAACAAGTATATGTAAGCAATGAACACTGCTAACTTCGTTCGTTAGAAATTGAAAAAAGAAAAAGAATTTGCATAAATATCGTCGACCTATCGATGCGCTCAGAGCTTTATCAATCAAAGAACTGCTCGATGACTCGGAGAATCCACGCTGCCGGTTGAACGCGCTCCAAGACCGGAGACTTCGATGCTGGATGGAGCAGGCTCGGAGACTTCAACGCCTGACAAAGCAACAATGTTTCCAGTTATCTTTGCCAGACGTTAAAGTCTCCGGCCTATTTGCTCGGAGAACCATCGTTACGCGACGGAACAAACGCGAGATCGACTAGTACCCGAGCGTAGACCGTTTTAGGGAGCAAGTAGCCTACACGCAGGAGTTATAATAAGTCGCTACTAGGTAGGCGTAGCTACGAACAGGAGCAGAAGTGTTGTAGGCCGTTCACCCAGGTCGGACTCGGTTATCGGCTAGCTTGTACACCGCTGTCCCGCTTGTGTTCTCCGTCGGCGAGCATTTGGAGAAGAAAAAAAGAATCGCGGCAAATACGAAACCACGCGTGTGTCGTCGCGTAGATAAAGATAATAGGTCGAGTAGAGCCGGTGGAAAGTTCGCCGGTTCTTGCGCGGCGATACGACTGGGGAAAAGCTCCGCTTCCTACGGATAAGGATAATCGCCTTTTATTTTGCGTCTCCGCGCTCTATATTTAGAGCCGCCTCGTGGTAGTCGCGTTGTACCAGAGGCTAGAACCGCGGGAAATCGACCTTGCTGCGTCGAGAACGTTTGACGCGTTTATTGTGTGCGTCGACGCGCTCTCCATTCCCTCGGCCCTTCTTCGATATCGCAACGGCGGACGCGTGGGACTAATTTCTGACACGGGACTGTTTTCTTTTTTCCGTAGTTTTCTATCTGCATTGCCTAAAATAATACGAGAAATAATCATTTATTTGTATTTGTGTACACGGGATGACGTTTTGCAACACAGGCGACGTAAAAACAATCGCACGAATATGATTATAAAAGAGTTAGAAAAATATAGAAGAAACAAGAATAATAATAATTATTATTATTCCCAGTTTTGTCTTTTTTCGCGGTATTTTTTACACGTTTTTGATCTAACACGATTTAGAAAAATAAATTCAATTTCCTTCCTATACGATTTCATTCGATTTAGCAAGGTTAAAAAAGTTATTTGATTGAAATTTTAAGAACAATTATTTTAATTAATTGTAATTTTCTAGATATATTTAGGACAGCACAACAATGCTCTTGTCAACAAACATTAGAGCGTCGATCCGAAAAGTTCTCTCTCGAAAAACTTTTTTTTTCGGCGCAATAGATATTTAATAAAAAAAATATCACAGTTTCGAGAGTATAATGTGACACTAAGTTTGTATACAAACAATAATCAATTTCCTATTTTTCTGTACATCTACCAGGTTTCTCCTGGAACCTATGTAATGCGTAAAAACAGAATTGGGTGTACAATAAAATAAAATATAGAAGAAAAATAATAGCAATAGTGGAAATAAGGATAAACATAAGGTATTATAATACGGAAGAAAATAGAGGAATGGCGAGGAAAGAAGGATGCCGAGGTGGATAAGATGAGGATGTAGAGGAACTGGATAGAACGACAGTAGAACCTCGATTATCCGAACTACGCAGAGCGACATAAATGTTCAGATAATAAAGCAATTACTTAGTTAAAGCGCCAAATGTCATCTTTATTCATTTACACCATAAATCGTTTTGTATATGATTCACCTTTCATCGAGCTGATTACATATTAAAAATATCTAAATAACAGATGCTTTTGATATTGGAGGACCGGATAATCGAGATTCTACTGTACCTTTAAAATGTGTCCAGCCAAAATATTGGTTAAAGTTTCGAGCAGCTAGAATATGCAAATTATTCCGAGAGTAGATGAGGCTAATTAGAGTCTGAGGCAACTCTAATTAGAAGTATTGCCCCGGTTAGATAAGAGAAAATGATCCGGTTGATCGGGAAAAGCGTAGCCGGTGATCTTCTATCGGCGATCTCTTCTTCTTAATATATGAAGATTACAGTGTTTTCGCGTTCCGTGGTCCGCCCGTTGATAGCTGGAATCAGGCGACGCCGTTTTTCTCGCCGTCGGTTGCGCCAATAAATTAAGTTCGACGCGACGCGGCTGTCGATGGAGCTCCAATTAGACACGGCCGCGGAAAAAATCGTGAACGTTTTTCTCACGTACGCGTCGGTCTGTCCGCAGATTCTCCGCCTATGGGTTCAAGTATCACCTGGAGTCGCCAATTAGCACGTCGCAGCGCCGCGAGGACGACAGAATCACGTACATCAACAAGGGACAATTCTACGGGATCACGCTGGATTACGTCCCCGACCCGGACAAGCCGACCCTGAAGGCTGGACAGACCGTCAAGGTAAGCGGAAACGCCGATTTATCGATTCGGCAATCGAGCAAACAGCTGCCGCGCCTCGGCCGTTCGTACGCCGACAGTTTGTCGGTCGCGCGTGATTTGTAGATCGCGGATGTTACGCGTTTATGATAAACACCGCGAGGCATCTGCAATTCAACAGTTTGAAAAAGTCCGGCGGAGCTTGCCGAGATTTTTCTTTCGGCCAGCAGTCGCGCTCGAGCACAGTCCAAATCGATTTCATTCAGGCTAAGATAGATTCTGTCAATCGCGGTCTTCGCGAGAATTTGCATAAGCATCCGCAATCGAACGACGCGAGATCGATCGGATCGTCGAAAAAACGGCGATATCGCGACAGGCTGTAATTATCAGCTGCAAATGACTCGATAAACGGAATTAATCGCCGGTAAACGGTGATTGAATCCTTGACGGGGAAACCGTGAACGCGTCGCCGGTCCCGATCTCACGCGGTTAGAAAACCTCTTCCGGGGGACTTTTATCGGAACCGTTTATTTGCTTCTGCCAGAATATTTCATCGATCGCGAGGATCATTACGAATATTTATTAGCTGTCGCGAGCGGGCCGTGCTAACCCCGTATCGGCATTCTATTAAGAAAATTGAGAATTGCTCGGCCGGCGCAGCGACTGCCGCAAAAAAAAGGGTATAATCGGTTTATCGAGGATTAATGTGACGAAACGTAAGAGGGGCGAATCGAGGCACGGTCGAACGCGAATAACCACGAGCAGAGATAGAACACGGTGGACGAGAGTGGGGGCGCCTCGGATAGCCGGCTGTTCCCCCCCTACTTCAGCCCTCCGTGGACCGTTCAAATCACCACGCGGCTGAACGCTCGATTAGCAATTAACGAGGAAGTCGTAACTCCTCCTAGCCGAGAGAAGACAGGGGGCGTAGAGGGAGGAAAGGAGCGGGGGGGAAAAAAAAGAATCGGCAGCTTTATCAGGATGGAAATTGCTAACGGTGCGCCGCGCTGCCAATTAGAGCCGCGAGAACAAACGACCTCGTCCGACTTCTTCTTTCGGGCTGCGCGAATTCTATCGCTCGTAGGAGTCGGCAAACGAGCGTAAACGCCGCCGCGTGGCGGGACGCGGCCCGGCCTAATGCGATTTAAGAGGAGTACACTCGCAATTTCCCGCGACGATATTACCCCGAACACGCTCGCGCGCGCGCTCGTCCGCCGGTTATTGTTTATCGGCGTTCGCCGGTTTTTTCAAACGATGAACCCGCGCGCCGACGACCGGCGATTCCTCTTCCATAGGGCGGTGCTGTGATATTCCCTCGCCCTTTTTAGCCGACCCTGAATATTGCGCGCTCGCGCCGTACACGATTGTTCGATGTCTGAAACGCTGAACGCTTGTTTCAGCGCGATGCGCGCCGACGATGCGGTGTATTTTTAGAATACGAACGAACCTTAACGTCGTTCCTATAACGCGAGCCGTAAAAGTAATAATGTTCGCGCGTGTACGCCGGCTGTTTATTTGTTTTAACGATCCCGCAGCCAGGGTAAACGATCGCGGGATCCGTAATCGATTCAGCGGAAACCAGATTCGATGAAAAATTCATTATGTCTCTTGAACCAGTCGTCGTGGAAGCTCGACGGGTCTTTTTAGGTCGACGCTTGATAATACGCCGACTTCGCGAGTTTTTCTTCCGGTGGAAATTAAATGACGCGACGTTTGCCAATATTGGTTCATTAATTTTTAGCGGGCAACAATCTCTGCAAAAATCAGCTTCTTACGTCGTACAAATTGTTGATGTACTCGCGACGAGAACTACACTCGTACACGAAAGTATTCGGACGCTTACGTTTCTAACATTCAATTGATAAAATATATGCGTTAAACTGAAGCATTTGATATAATATGATGCATATAACAAGGGATGGATCTTAAGATTGCGTGAGCAAAATTGGAAAATAATTCAACGATACAGTAAAGTCTCCCTAATTGACGCTCAGATTCTGCACAAAATGGATTCTGCACAAAATTCGAGCCTTGCGGTTTGTTTTTATAGTTACAAATTGTCGACAATTATAAAAACGAGCCGTAAGGCTCGAATAATCGTATCTCCTCTTCCCAAACTGTCCATTTTTGTGTAAAATCTAAGCGTCAATTAGGGAGACTTCACTGCATATGGCGTTTTTACAATACACATTTTGTAAACACGTACCAGAAATGGCTCGTAAAAGTATTCGAACTCTGCCAATTAAGAATTCCCGAAGATCGCAGAATGTAAACAAACGTTGCGCAGTTCACTAGCAGTTAGTCCAAGGGAATCAGTGTTCAAAATTTCTGTCACAATTCTTATTATTAATAATATGACAAAATGAATCGCAAGAAATCCGAAATATGCAAATCAGTAAGAGAATTGATAACGAAATATTATTGAAATATGGCAATCAATAGATGCAAATGTTACATCCAAGTTGGTCCACTCGATGGAAAACAGACTTGGAGCTGTTATAAAAGCAAAAGGTGGATCAACTTCCTATTAAAACCTTTAATCGTTCGATTTAAATAACTATTAATTGTTTCGTTCGAATATTTTTGCGAGCCATTTCTGGTACGTGTTTACAATAAATGTACCGTAAAAACGTTATATATCGTTGAATTATTTTCTAATTTTGCTTACGCAGTCTTAAGACCCATCCCTTGTTATATGTGTCATAGTGTATCAAATGCTTCAGTTTAACACATATATTTTACCAATTGAATGTTTGAAACGCAAGCATTCGAATACTTTCCTGTACGAGTGTATGTTGACACGTTACCTTCGACCTTTAATTTTTCCGTCTCTAAACTATTATTAGTATGAAAAAAGTACGCAGCTTTCCAAGATTAACGATCGGTTCACCAAGGACAGTCGTAACTGCATTTCTAATCTGGTCTCGAGCCCTGTTTAACTCGGTTGTTTAACGACTCTGCCGCGTTCTTCTGCCCTCCGATTAACTCCTGCTACGCCAATGGAGAGACAGCATTAGCCGGGTGCGTGCAATTCTTGGTCCATTCACCCGAATCACGAAAAATCGTCTCGGAACACGCGCCGGTCTGCGCAGCGAAGCGTGCTTCTGTCGCGACCGATGTCACGCACACGCGAGGCACGCGTTATCGCGCCGGCTCCCGGACTTTTCACCGCCTACCGTTGTCCGAACTGCATGCATAAAGCGTATATACGTATACACGAGCCGTATACCGACCGACCAACCAACGAACGCGGTCGCCTGATTCTGAATTATTTGTCGACAATCTGTATCACGGCTGGCCTATGAATGTTAACCCGCGAAAATGGCCCCGGAGACACGTGTAGCTGATTCGAGACGCGGAGGTTACCCTTTTATCTGATCCTCCGACTTCGACGGGACACTAAGAAAAAACGGCACGCGATAGAGGTCTCCATCGGGACGGACAAATGAAAAATCGGGACAATTTGCTTAATTTATTCGACCGTTGTGCAAATTACGTACGCCATTTCGGTCGCTCGAACAGAGGCCGAAAGTAATCGACGATGACTACCGTCTCTGCACGCTGCCCGAACAATTGTTTTATAGCTTCGCGAAGAAACTGTCTCAAAGACGATAGAGTACGAGCAACCATGACGATGATTTTTCCACGAAAGAACCACTTGGAACGCTTTCGAAGCTGAAATCGAAGCCCGAACAATTGTTTTATAGCTTCGCGAAGAAACTGTCTCAAAGATGATAGAGTACGAGCAATCATGACGATGATTTTTCCACGGAAGAACAAATTGGAACGCTTTCGGAATTGAAATCGAAGCCCGAACAATTGTTTTATAGCTTCGCGAATAAATTGTCTCAAAGACGATAGAGTACGAGCAACCATGACGATGATTTTTCCACGAAAGAACTAGTTGGAACGCTTTCGAAGTTGAAATCGAAGCCCGAACAATTGTTTTATAGCTTCGCGAATAAATTGTCTCAAAGACGATAGAGTACGAGCAACCATGACGATGATTTTTCCACAAAAGAACCACTTGGAACGCTTTCGGAACTGAGATCGAAGCTCGAAACCAGTCAGATCAGGATTCCAGCGTAAACGATTGCTCGCCTATTCGGAACGTCGGGAACGAGTAATATTCTTCGACGGGATTAGCATCCAGAAAGTCTAGAGCACTTTTTGTGATCCAGCAGCCCCTAGGACACTGCGATCTGCTTAATCGTTGCTCGACGCGCGGCGTGTGACGCGTCGAAACCTTATATCCCATAATTACAGACCGGGAAACTGTTCTGCGAGACCGGCAGCCATCTTGATCGAAAGAATCGTTGTTGGTCCACGGGACGGAGAAAGACGGAGAGGCGGCTAGATAGCTGGACAGAGGGCAGGGAGAAAGGGAAAATCGTCTGTCCTTCCCGATTAATCAGCATAATTGCCGACCGGGACAGCGTTTTTACCAATGAATCACGCTCGCGAGAGCGAGCACGTCGCCGTACGAGGGGAAAAATCGTCGTAAGGACGACTATCGTAGGATACACGGCTGTTTATGGGGAATTAGCGGTGTCGAATGGCGCGATTTATGCTACCGGATTATACGGTACCGCGTGATTTATACAAGCGGTTCCGATCGAGCGTGTCTATGGTGTCGTTGCCGATGCAAAGCTCGCGCGAATTTCGCGTGTTGCGTGCGCGTGTCAGCGACGACCATGGTTCCGCGATCATGGTTCCGTTACCATTGTGTGCGTCCACAGAACCCCGTGGATCCCGGATCGAAGAGCACAAGGAGAGGGGTGTAAAGGCGGCGCGAGGAGCTCGCGGACAGCGCGTGATTATCCGTAAAATTCGAAAAATCCCGCGCGCATCGATCCGCAACCGGTCATTGATGCCTGTCGATACCGGAATCTCTGTAATTTCCGTTGCATAATTGCACGCTGCTGAGCGATTTATGATGCACGCGTACACCCCGACGCACAGCCTCTGTCGCGGTCGTCTAAAACTTTCGACTGACCGGGATTCTCCGCCTCGCCTCGTTCGATCTTCCACGAATCTCGTTAATCCCAGACATTCTGCCTCGATTTCTACGTTTTTTTTCTTTTCTACCCCGCTTCCTGTTCGAAGCGAACTTCTCGGTATCTCGTCTACGATTCAAGAGAAACGCGTTCGAAACGTTCATTCGGATCTTCCACGAAAGTCGTTGCACATTTGTCACTTAATTGGCAGTGTGCAATTTAGATAGCAGGACAATTCGATGGACTTTCAGGATCAGAAATTTTATAATTGCTATTGTTGCTGGTTCATGGATACGTAGAAAAATCTGTTTAATCTGCTGTTTTCCTCACGTTCGGGCCATAGCAACCCTACGAACGAAAGTTCACATTTTATTTGTATTTGTGGATTTATCTGTTTAATATTAGATACAATACGTAAGAAACGTCGCGAAATATTTAGAAACATAGATTTTAAGAAACGTAAACTACTTTTCAGGTCATATGCGTAGAACCAAGGAGAACAACAGGGTTGAAAATGTTATAATTCATTGAAAATGGCTACAGTAATGTCTCCCTAATTGACGCTCAGATTGTCCACAGAAAAATGGACAATTTGGAAAAAGCAGATACGATTATTCGAGCCTTGCGATTTGTTTTTATAGTTACGAATTGTCAACAATTATAACAATCGAGCTGCAAGGCTCGAATAATCGTATCTTCTCTTCCCAAATTGTCCATTTTTCTGCACGATCTGAGCGTCAGTTAGAGAGACATTACCCTATTTATACTATCTTTGGTCGGTCAGATACTCGAAAACTCGTGGCATTTGAAATGTTATCCGCTTCGCTGTTTTCGGCAGAATTTAAGTGACTTTCGTGGATCTCTCCGAACCACAGGACCTTCGCAAGATTAGCAATTTTCCTGGCTATTATCAGTGTGCCGGGGGTAATTATTCCGATGATGCTATATCTGTCTGTCTATAGTGCGTAGGCTCGCGAGAATTTATCGGTGTCCGCGGCCGCGGCGGCGAGTGTGATGCACGAGAATCGCCTGTAATAAGATGGATATCGTAGAAGCGAGGCCCTAAGTGACCGTTTCTCACGAAATTACATAAAACTACGGCGGGCCTCGGCCACGTCCAGAGCAGCCGGCATTTATCCGACCGAGCTGCATTAAGCGTGATAAAGTACTTACACCGTTTTCTCTGTGTTTTGTCACGCAGAGCGTGGTAATGCTGATGTTCCGAGAAGAGAAGAGCCCCGAAGACGAAATTAAGGCGTGGCAGTTCTGGCACGGAAGGCAACATTCTGTCAAGCAGCGTATTCTCGACGCCGGTAAGTAAAGCGTCGCCGGACACCATTAAGTCCGCCTCTAAATAACGTCTGCCCACCCATTCGCGCACTCGAGTTACATTCTAATCGGTTCACCGGATCGAAACCGAACTCCCTCGCGTCCCTGCCACCTTTTTTCCGAATATCTCAATCTCACGATCCCGTGTCTTCTGCGCAAGCCGCTTGGATTACGGCGCACGTTCGGTAAGATTGCCAAAGGTTATTGCTTTACATCGTTTTTATTTCGTAGCGTCATATTTTCACTGAACAACTCGCGGCCCGTCCAACGGGACGAATCGGTAAACGCGAACGAAACTATTGAACGTCGAGCTCTTGACTCTTCGAGGCACGGTGGCATTAAAAATGTCCCATCTTTTTGGCGCACGGTAAATGCACGATGGGACATTCTTAAATCCACCTCGAAATATTGCAATAGCTGCACGAGCATTCGTGAAACCATGTGGCACGATGGGACTGTTTGAGTCCCACCCTGTAACAACAAATTCAATTGAATTATTATTACCTTTTTTCTGTTTTTATATCATGTGATTATATTCCTTTGTTACTGAAAATATACCGATCTTGTTTAATTTGAAACGCGATAAAATTTCTGTGCGACATGGTGCTATTTTATTCTCCGAAATCCTGTGCCCCGAGGAGTTAATATTTTCCAAACGAACGGATGAGGATCGTTAGCGGCGTAAGTCACGTTTTCCTCATTCTGAGAAACGTGGAGTATTATTGTTTACTAACGAGTGCATCGTTTAATGGCCAAATTTATTATTAATCCTTTGCACTCGAGAGGTGACCCTGCGGCACCGCTAAAATTGTTACATCACGTTCTAAGGTTATTTTTGTATCTCTCTCTCTCTCATCGAAGTTTAAATTTTAAACATTATTAAAAGCATAACTGTTGTATGAATCATGAGATTCAATTTCGTATGCATAAAATGCACTTTGTCCTGCAAAATGGAAATACTGTAAGTCGGAGAAATTATTTTAGATTTACAGTTAAAATGGCTTCGAGTGCAAAGGGTTAAGACCAATTTGGGATAGAAGTGATTTAAAGTAACTTCATCAATTATCTCACTTGTCTTTTGAACGTTTTCAAAATTTTCGAAAATGCAACCTACGCCACTGCGATTCTAACCCGATGTATGTCGATAGACGGCACGAAATTGAAACGAATTATGAAAAATAGGACTTCGAGGATTCGTCGGGCTCGATCGAGCTCGAACGTAGAGAAATGCGGGGGAAACGGGAGGATTAATTTTGTTAGTCGTTCGCGAGCCGATTCGCAAGTTTAACAATAATCTATACCATTGCAGACACGAAGAACAGCGTGGGACTGGTGGGCTGCATAGAGGAAATCGCGCACAATGCGATTGCCGTTTATTGGAACCCACTCGAATCCTCGGCGAAGGTATGAGAGTCCTTCGTCCGTTCATTACTGAGATTCCATTTGCATAGAACGATCTATCGGAGGCCTTAATGACAGTCGTCTGCTTATTCACGCGATTGTTGTTAACCGAAGAAGATAATTTCGCGAGCTCATCCGGGCGATCCCGTCTCGTTACAGATAAACGTGGCGGTGCAGTGCCTCAGCACCGATTTCTCCAGTCAGAAGGGAGTGAAGGGCCTGCCCTTGCACATTCAGGTAGACACGTACGAAGAACCGCCGTCGCACGCTCATTCGTACACGCCACCGTCGCATCGCGGCTACTGTCAGATCAAAGTCTTCTGCGACAAGGTAATTAACATTTGCTTGTAATCCATAATTCGATATGAAATTCTACGATTTCCAAGATAAAAATTCTGCTCGATTCGGGTTCCCTTTATAATACTGTAAAGTTTCAATTTACATTTGATAAGACATTGTGGCACTGATGAGACATTATACTGTAACACCGGAAGCTCTTAGCATTCGCCGAAAGGAGCAAGATAATTGAAGATATTTAAAATTTTCAATTTCGAGCGAAGCTAATTTTCATGGCAAGCGTAATATTGCTTGTTGCTTTTTTTTATGAAAGGTTTTAAGGGAACGTTCGTTGATACTTCGTAGCGCGATCGCGGATATACTTCAGTGTGGAAATTGATGGCAGGAAATATAATTCATGGATGTTTAACAGGGAGCCGAAAGAAAGACCCGTGACGAAGAGAGGAGAGCAGCAAAAAGGAAGATGACGGCGACCGGCAGGAAAAAGCTTGACGAGTTGTACCATTCCGTCACGGAACGCAGCGAATTCTACTCGATGGTGGATCTCCACAAACCACCTGTCCTGTTCTCGCCGCCTGCTGAGCACAACATCGAAAAGGTACAAATCGAGGCTTCTGGTTCGATGGAGACCGAATGCAGGACACTGTTAGATTGGTGGGAAATTAGTGGGTCGCGAACGGCTTAATCTATGTACGCGATCCTGAATTCGTTGAAAAGTAGTGCATACTTGAAGATCAAACACACGACACACGTAAATACTATTCCCACCAACCTAATGCACACTCTTTGCGCGCAAGGATAGCTTCAAAAAGTTTTATTTACGCTCCTTAAATTGTTGAAACCTTGACGCATTCGCGAACGCTCGCAGTACTTTTGTAAACAAACGACACCACGAGTAAACCGTGAACACGTTCATTCTCTGAAAAGAGTGATTTTGTGTTCGACTTGACGTCACGACGAAACTAACTAGAACTACAATTGCAAACGAAAAGTCCACTATAGTTTCCACCACAATCCTCTGCTCTCAACACCGCCAAAACTCTCCACTAATCGCAACTCCTACATCGCCGTAACAACCATAGCTCGCTCCGGGAACGAGTTACCCAATGAAACTGCAGTAATGTCTAGGGAGACATTAGGGAATTGTCGTCCAAATTGTGCAGAAAAACAGACAATTTGGGAAGAGGAGATACGATTGAGGAGATCGAGGCTTGCGGTTCGTTTTTATGATTGACGATCGGCAACTATAAAAATTAACTGCAAGCCTCGAATAATCGTATCTCCTCTTCCGAAATTGTCCATTTTTGGGCACAATCTGAGCGTCAGTAAGGGAGACATTACTGTATATCGATACAATACTCCAACAAAAATTCTCTGATCTTCAAGAGCTAGCGAAGCCTTCTTTAGCTTGAACTTCCACGAAGCGGTCTTCCGAAAGAATATTGCTCTCTCCAATGAATCCAGAACGAATGAATCCGAACGAACGGGTTGCATCGGAGCGGACGGTAGTTGCGACTGTCAGCGTAATCGACGTTTCTTTTTCTCGAAAAGCAAAGCATAGCGTCTCGAATTTCTAGTCTCCATCTCGCCGATCTAAATTGACCATTCTGTTTCTTGTTCCAACGACAGTTCTCGACGATGGAGTTGTCGGGCTTCTACGGAGGTGGCGGCGGAGGCGGTGGCGATACGGACACCTCGTCCCTGAGTAATGGCGAGGGCGGAGGATTGAAGGCCGGTGGCAGCAGCCCTTACCCTGCCTGCGGCAGACCGAGCCTGCCGGCCCTCAAGTTCCACAACCACTTCCCGCCCGACAATCTGACTAGCCTGCACGACAAGAAGGACTCGTTGCTGATGCAGGTTCAGGAGCTGCAGGGCTCGGTGCTGCAGGGCGTGCAACAGGCTGGCCTCACGGGCACCGTGGTCTCCGGCGTCGGGAACAGGCTCCATCTGCAACAACAACCGCCCCATCTTCGACCCGCGGACGCCGAAGAAAGGGTGATGCTCTACGTTCGCCAGGAGTCCGAGGACGTCTACACGCCTCTGCACGTCACGCCGCCGACAGTACAGGGACTTTTGAACGCTGTAAGAGACACTACGGATTTTTTCTTTCGAGACCAACCGGACACGCTTGCGGACACTTAGGCTGTTAGGTGTTTAGCAGGTTGCAGCTGGTCGCGGTCGGATCGGAGAGAAAACTGTTGTCTTGCCTCCTTTTACCGTGAACTAAATCTGTTTGGAAGATAAGTCAAGTTTTTGATACGATGAGGTGAAGGTACGATAGAATCGTAGGGACGAGTCTTTGTTTAGAACGAGCCTTTCGACTTGGAACAAGGCGCTTGATTTAGAAATAAAAAACTGCGAATCGCGTTTTGCTCGTTTTTATATTCGTATCGAGCGATAATCAGAAAAAGGCGATTACTCTTTCTTCGTTGAAGAGATTCTTGTGTAAATCAAATAAACATACTATTCAGTCTTAATAAAGTATATTAATTGTTCTCTAATAGTTTGGCTTGAATACATAAAGATACATAGTCTAGCAAGATGAATCGTGTGACTTCAAAGTTACATTTTACAGATACAGTAATGTCTCCCTAACTGACGCTCGGATTGTCCACAAAAATGGACAATTTAGAGAGAAGAGAGACGATTATTCGAGCCTTGCAGTTGTTGACAATTCGTGACTATAAAAATGAACCGCAGGGATCGAATAATCGTCTCTCTTCTCCCTAAATTGTCCATTTTTGTGGACAATCTGTGCGCCAATTAGAGAGACATTAGTGTAACATTTTATGGAGAGTTAATATCCTCGATTGACTCGAATTCTTCACCGCATTGGCGAGAATTGGTAAATTATTTACGTTCACAGCGTTAAGTTTTCGTTATAGAATGATCTTTGAAAATCCAAGTTTTTTCTCCCGCTCGACCGAACCAGATCTTTCCGCATTTTCATCGCTAGCGCGAAACAGCGCTTGCAAATAAAACGTGCAAGTCGTCGCAATCGAGGGTAACAGAGAAATCCGAAGCAAATTTCACAAACCCTCGCTGGTCCACCTAGAATGAACAAAGTATTGGGTTGTCCTGAAAGTTCGTTCCGTTTCGTGATCAAATTGGATAGCAACGAAAATCGAGTGAATAATCATTTCAAAGTACAGTAATGTCTCTCTAATTGACGCTCGGATTGTCCACGAAAATGGACAATTTAGGGAGAAGGGAGACGATTATTCGATCCTTGCGGTTCGTTTTCATAGTTACGAATTGTCAACAACTATAAAAACGAGCTGTAATGCTCGAATAATGGTATCTCCTCTTCTCAAATTACCCATTTTTGTGCGCAATCTGAGCGTCAGGGAGACATTACTGTAGTCTGTACAATATGCGACGCGTGCTAAAGTCGAATTTAACCTTTAACCAATCACGTGCCATCCTTAAGTCTGTATTATCTATCAATTTTGCAATAGTTTTCGTGCTTTCGATGAAATTTGTGTCCGCTAGAACATCGACGTGATTCGAACCGGTAAGATCGAATTAACGAATGTATCGGTGCATAAGAACCAACAACGTCGTACAAACAAAACGGGAACGAGTTTCCAGATAACGCAGTGGTTTTTGCGAACGCAGCAAATTCGGGTGCCGTTTCTCTATGAGCGTAGTTTCCTGGAACCCTCGATCGCGGGTCGAGACCCGCGGGAAGCTCCGTTTCCGGGCGTCGACACGGTGAAATCGCTGGGCGAGGTAAAAAGACAAAAAAGTCGATCGCGATAATTCGCGTTGCGTAAGCGGAGCCGCGGTTAAGCTCGGTTGAGTTTGAAAGCGCGTGTATTCGGTCGTCTATTTATACCGAAAGGTGCGTTTCGAAAGCCGCGTACGGCAACTAGTCCCCGGTAGAAAGCGAGAGACAGACACACACGCGGCGGCCCCGCGTCGACGCGCAGCACGACGTTAACTCGCAATTATCTCGACGCGGACAATTAATCACGTTGGTTCCGCCGGTCGGCGTGTACTGCACATAAGCCTGGATTCGACGGGAACGTACACCGCGCGGCCGATATGACTAATGAGTGATGCGCGAGAGTAACACGGGCTCTACAGGCGACACGGTCATTCTCAAGTATTAGCCATGCATGCGAGGGACACAGCCACCAACTATCCATTAATCAAATATACTTGTTTGCACCGTTCCATAAACGCTGGTTTATTAATATTAACGCGCATGCATATCTCACCGCCAAAAATCCTCTCGCAATTAATACGAGATCCAGCGCGCGGCGGCTCCGGCCTCGCGCGCGATCGATTAACATCCACCCGCCCAACAAACCCCATCACCCTCGGCGCATAGCTATAGGACTATGTGCGAGAGGGCAACGATCGGTGGGTTTCGACGATAGAGGTGCGTCTCGCGAACGCCACGAGCGTCGCAACGTAGCAATTTCTCACGGATCCAGTGCCAGAAGAAAAAAGTGGAAAGAAATGGATAGAAACGATTCTCTCATTCACCGTGTCTTCCTGTCTCTGTCTTTCTGTCTCTCTGTCAGTTTCCCATGCATCACTTCATCTCCCCTCCATGTTCGATCTCCGAAGCGTCCTCTGGATTCTCTCGAAGCGTTTCTCCCCGTCCACTTTTCTCGATTTTCCATTATACGTTGTCGAGCCTCTCTTCCATCCCACCCCCCACCCCCCAACCCCTACGATCTCTCTGTGACGCGCGTACCCGCACCGTCCCGGGCACCGAGCAGACCTCTCCCCAAAACTGATGGTCCGCAACCACTGTCAAAATTCTAATGTTCTACTTTTTTCTATTTTACAGATTGAGTCAAAGTACAAAATTGCATCCTCGAGTATTAATAACCTCTATCGCAAAAACACAAAGGGGTAAGTTTAGTAGAGTGTCATCTTTACTTGCATGCACCGCCCACGTAGTGCATGCCATAACGGTGACATTGCCTGACTTCTCTCTGGCTAGTTTGGTAGTCTGTCCCTCTCTCGCTCTGCGAACCACAAACACACGCCTCTCTCTCTCTCTCTCTCTTTCTCTCTTTCTCTCTTTCTCTCTCTCTCTCTCTCTTTCTCTCTCTTTCTTCGACCTCTGATCACTCATGTTTCAATTTTTCACCTTGGTGTCGCGATCGCTACGATCATCGCTACCCTTAACCGATTTCCTCGACAGTCCGCCATTTCTCCAGCATGGGCACTCTTTCGGTTCCATTGTCTTGTTACTAATCTACTAATTCTGCTATATTTCTTCTCCGTCTCTTCCTCTTCTTTTTCTTCTTTTTCTTTCTCGGTCACGAGCGGAATGTCTCCGAAAGGACTTTAACTTCGCGACCCCACGGTCTATACTAATCGTATACGCGATTCGATATTAACAAAATCTGATGGAGTGAGACATTCTACTCGCGCGCGCACATTCTCAATTGCATGCCCCGTCCCTGTCGCACGACCCGCTTGCACTCTTTCCTGCACGTGTACTGCACCGTACCTTCCTCTCGGACGCATCACGCATCCAGTTCACCTGCGATTGTACGCGTGTTTCGTTGTTTGTTTTGCTCTTTGTGTTTTCACTTTCTGTACTAGGCCGGATAGAGAGATCTAGATCGATTCGGTAGCGTTACTGTACCGCACGATAGAGTCGACAGATTTGTGCCGCCATGTTGTCGCGGACCGGCGCCGCGAGTCATTCTGATACTAAGGATGTTCTAATTTTGGTGACTTTGACTTTTTGACGTTTATGAGCTATTAGGCTGTAACCTGTGACAGCGTGTTCGAAAACTCGAAATTTTACGTTCCTTGTTCCGTGTAAAAAGATCTTTCAGAGAAAATCTCGGCTGTTTTAAAAAACGAGCGTTCGCAATTGCTCCGCACGAGTATCTTCTTCCGATTAAAGTCGTTCGTGCAATCGTTTCAAACAGATCCTTTTCATTTCCGTGTCAATTTTTACGCGTGCGAATGGTAAACCGCGCTTTCGTAGTTTCGTCCGAAGTGTTTCTAGTCGAACCGAGGAAGGCTGACGTCGAACTGCTTCAGGTTACAACCCAATAAGCAAACGATTTGATCTGTCAGTGATAAATTATTCGAAAGCTCCAGAATTCACTACATGCGTTCCCCTTAACCTTTTCAAGCTGCACACAAACTGGTCTCTCCTTATTTACTCGTGTACACACGCTCGTCTAGTAGTGTACAGTGCAATTTAACCGGGCGACGTGATCAATGACAGTGGACACTGAAGAAAGATTTCTCGAAAACCACCACTCTCATCGATCATAAAGCCTGTTCACACTTTGAACCGGTGATGACGTATGTACATACAAATACCACGAAAATATACCACTATAAAAGATGATACAAAAATAACACAGGACTCCTTCTTCCTTCACACTCTAACCGAAGAGCCTCTCTCACCGCGCATACAAGTCTGTCGACCTATCGAAGATCACAACAAACTCTGAACGCTTGAAATCTGTCCACGATCCCAGTTCCCTCGACACGAAAAAAACCACACACGACAGACTAATGTTATTCTCGAGCTCTCTGTTACGCCGACTTCGCACCAGCGGTTCCTCCGAGCCAAGCTCGACGACGAGCTTGCATGTAACTGTAAAAGCCAATCGTGAAACGAGGAACGTCCCGGCACCCGTCGGCTAACAGGACAAATTAGAAGTCGCTGCTGGTGCGAACCGGCTCTTACCGTCAAACTCAGCCCCAGAAAAGCTTCGAGCAGGGTAGCAACCGCCTGGAACCAGGGCCTACAGCACCACGGTCTAACCACCATTGTCCGCGTGTTTCAGAATTACAGCGAAAATTGACGACGACATGATCCGATATTACGTGGACGAGGACCTGTTCCTGCTGGAGGTCAGCCATTCCCGAGTGAACCCGGACCCGACCAACGAGCGCAACCCGAATCCCGGGTCGCCGGGTGACCCCGGCGATCCTGGCGACCCGCCGTCAGCCCCGGGCTACGACGTCACCCTGATCGAGCTACCTTCGTCCCCGGCTCACATAGCCCACTCACCTCTAACGAATTCGGCGCACGGGCACGCGCACGTTCACGATACCGGCAACACGTGAAAGAAACGCGGCGGGAGAGCACGCGCGCGCCAGCTATGTAACGCTAGCTCGCGCGTGTAACTCGGTGTAAATAAGTCTGAGAGGGACAGAGAGCAGCAACAGTCGGCGTGTTCGAAGAATCGCCGACACGGTGCAATGTGAACAGAGAGCTTTTCAGGGACCTGGATCGAGTGATCGCTCGTCAGTGCTCGGTTCCGAAGGAATCGCCGATCCTGAATCGTTTCGCTGAAACGGACCAAGAGCGACACGAACCGGAGGGCCAAGAAGAATCCGTACTGCTGACGAAGGAAGAGAAGAAGATGACGACGATGCGGAAGAAGAAGAAGAAGAAGAAGAAGAAGAAGAAGAAGAAGATGAAGAGACGGGATAAGCTGCTCTTCCGGGGCCTACCGAAGGGACTGATGTTACGGCTTAAAAAGTCAGATGATTGTTAGTTGATAGTGGTCGCCCGGGCCTGTACTTAGCTCGTCTTAGAGTCCGCGGACATGGGAGCCAATCCTTAAATAGATTGTTTGTTATTATTGTTCCCGAGAATATTGAACTCGAAATTTGTAAATTTTATCGCAGCTCGCACGTTCGCGAGACTACTACGACGACCTTATTACGCCATCCAAGGTGGCGGAGCTTGCGCTCTCCAGCCGAGGCGACACGTTATGTTCTATATTGTTTGTTTTCACTTGTGAACAATTTATATCGATGGTTGTTAGCTTAGGAAGAAAGAGAATGAAGAGAGGGAAAGAAGAGAGATAGAGAGAGAGAGAGAGAGAGAGAGAGAGACGGCGTCGTCGTTGACACGCGATGGCTATATTGTAAATCAATCAAAATTGATTTAAGGAACCCCACCCCACCCCCCCGACCCCTCGCCCTTTACCACGTTACGCGTTAAGTAAACGTACAACGTGTAAAATTGTATATGAAGAGATCGCCGCTCTATTATTATTGTATCGTCGCTATAGAGTTTAAATTCTTGTTTACGCGTTCAGCATGGGAGTAAAAGCGTTTTTAGTTTGTGCCGTGACTCGCGCGCGCGCGCAGAACTGTTTTGTAGTAAGCGTTCTCTCGAATTCTCTGCCGCCATTACGAGATAGACCGGTGCCATCGAGCATTATTCGTAGCGTTAACGCTCGCACACGTACACAAACACACACACACGCGCGCTCGCGCGCACGCGCATACACAGAGACACGTACATATTAGGTATACCAAGCAAAGCAAGTCCGCATACAGTGTCATATATATGTCGTCCTCAGGATTTCAGGAGCGATCGCTCCGAACCGTTCCGGACCCGTCCGCGGAATCTCCATTTCGAATTGTCCGCCTAATTTATACCACTGGCCGAGGACATCGCGCACTTGCCGTTAGTAGAGTAACTTCGCTATCATTCCACATCCTGTAGCGTCCCAGCATCCTTTGATATTATACAAAGACACCAAGTATTACTCTCAGATACGTAATTACCACGAACGAATAACGAAATTACGCAGGACCGTTCCGACGACCGGGCGCGAAACGCGAAAATCACCGACGGAAGTCGATCGTCGACGACTAGGTCTTTAGGTTTAGGTAGCTACGCCATATTGGTACCCGTAGTCGACCTTGAACTACGAACCCATCGCGGGTCAGTGCTTCCGCAAAATGTGAAATTTAATTTGTCCGTTCCCGTTAAGTCGCGCCGAGAGCTGAAGCTTTAGTAAACGTATTTGTTTAAATTATAAATTTCGAATATATATAAATATATATATACATATACATACATACCTTGTACATATATGTGGATAAAGTTCGTGACTTGGGCCCTTTGGGGACGAAACAGGAATGTTCGGAGTTTCATGTGTGTAAGGACGGTACTTGAAAATATTAAAGTTTGGTCAATTTAACCTTCGAAGTCGAATGGAAACTGTTTTATTCTTTTCGTCGAAGGCAGCCATCGAGAGCTCCAGAGGGTTCAAACTTTCAAAACGAGCTACGCGAGTCCCGGGTTTATCTTGATTATGGCAGAAACCGAATTGTCCGATGTCGCGGAAGTAACGGCGAGGTAGAAAAATGAGAGACCCCACTACGATCGTATTGTTTTGTTTCTCTCGTAAAACGAAGCAGGATTTAACGTGCCACACTAGCGAAAGCGAGCGATTTGCCACTCTCGTCGCGTAATTTTTTAATAAGTTACGCTCACATGCCCCCGCATACGTACACGTACATACATACACACGCGCGTAGAGACACAGAGACCATACACCATCCATCATCGATCATAAAGTACGGTAGTTAATCGCGTTTAGGATCGGACTAGAGAACATCACGATCACGACACTCGTTTTTATCTTTCACGACGCATGATTATATAGAAATAAAAATATATGGATCTATATGTTATGTATACATAAAACACGAACGCACGTCGCGCCGCGAATACACCGATATCAAAGCAAGGATCAAAATACGCTTGTAAAATGCATATTATGAGTACTATATTTTGTTACATCTATTGCAAGACAGCATATAGTTTGATATTATTAATATTATTGATTCTATTGATTAGATCTACGTAATTACGTATATATATAATAGTTATTATTATTATTATTATTATTATTATTATAAATATTATTATTATTATTATTATTATTATTTTTATACAAGGGATGCGTGTCTTCGTGGTGCGAGAATGCGAGAGTAAGAGAGGACGAAGTGAGGAAGAAAGAATGACAGAATGAATGAAAAATAAAAGCGTGTCAGAGAGAGAGAGATAAATAGAGAGAGAGAGAGAGAGAGAGAGAGAGAGAGAGAGAGAATCGAAAAAGCGGAGAGATTGATTACAGTTTACGAAGATTGTTAGCGTTGCTCCATGACATTTTTTTCCGTAATTAATAGCCCTACCCCGCCCCGAAACGCCCAAATATTCGTCAGCCGCCATAGCAACGCGCAGAAAACTCGCGTTCGGCTCGCGAACAATTCTTATTGCTATCGTATTGAGCCCTTATTATCCTTACGTTTATTAATATTATTAATTAATGATACATTATGGCGGACAGCCGCGTTACGATCAAGAGAAGATCGGAGCTGCGCGACGACACCGGTGAACACTTACCGAACTCGACGGGAACGGGTTAGGCGAGAGAGAAACGAAGACGCTGTAACTCGTGTTCTTTCTCTTTCGTTCGTCGGATCGTTCGATCTCGTGTTACATAGATCGATGAACCGTCACCGAGAGTTCGCGTATCGCGATCCCAGAAAGGATCTTCCCGTGATCGTACCGCGACCGTCGACCGATATCGTACTTAAACGTGAACGACGATGCGGAACGTAGCCCACACAGGCTTCCTCGAACTTCACATTTCGTTGGGAATGCCGGCCGTATGTTAGCGGAGGTGCACTGTGCAAAACAGATTCAGAACACGGTGTACGATGTTTTGTTAGAGAAGCCATCGAGCCCGAGTAGATGTTGCGGAAAAAAAAACAGATAAGTGATGTGAGAATACCGAATATATGTACCGTTTTCGCGTTGTCTTGCCATCGTGAGATTGTGCCAGAGGTGATATTATATTACGCTGTTTATTGCAAACAATAAATATTATATTAGTACGTTTTATAAATTGTTGTCTTGTTATTGTTATCAGCGGAGGGAGGAGTCTTCTCAAGCCTGTTCGATCCTCGCGAGAGTCCGTAGTTGTAGGAAGTCCTCCGAGACTCTGAATCCTTGTGTATTCGAGATCTTTGAATTTCTCTGAGATGTTTGAACCTCCATGATCTTTGATATCTAGGACCTTTAACTCCAGGATCTCTGTTCTCATTTGATTTACTTTCGTATCGAAGGTATATTTCTTGAAATTCGAAGGATCATTCCTTTGGTATCTCTAGAATCTATAGAATTCTTGAAATCCCTAAGATATTTTCACCTCCGAGATCATTAGATCTCCATGAACCTACGTGATCCTAGATATCCCAAAGATTTTCATGAATTTTTAGGATTAAGATTTCTGTATGTTTTGGAACCTCTGAGATCTTTACGTTTCTTGAGTTATACTTCAAATCCTTGAGACCTTCGTGTCCCCTTACAATCCTCTAAGTTTCTATTATTAAGTTTCTATCAGTTATCTCCATGTCTTTGGAATCTTTCTCCGAGATCTCGGAACCTCCATGATCTTTGGTATCTAGGACCTTTAACTCCAGAATTTCTGCTTTCATTTGAATTCCTGATACTTTCATATCGAAGGTATATTCCTTGAAATTCGAAGGATTATTCCTTCGGTATCTCTAGAATCTATAGAATTCTTGAAATCCCTAAGATATTTTCACCTCCGAGATCATTAGATCTCCGTGGACCTACATGATCCTAGATATCCCAAAGATTTCCATGAACTTTTAGGATTAAGATTTCTTTATGTTTTGGAACCTCCAACATCTTTACGTTTCTTGAGTTATACTTCAAATCCCTTTGGAGATCTCTGTGTCTCCTTAGAATCCTTTAAGTTTCTATTACCTTTTATCGATTATCTCCAATACTTCTGTTATCCTTAGGATCCAATATCATCGCATCCAATATCCCAAAAATGCTTGGAATCCCATCATTCTCTGAGATCTCAGCATCTTTCGGTCACCCAAACATCCTGAGAATCCTTGAAATCCCTGAAATCCTTGGGACGCCTAAGAGCCCCGATATTCTCGAGGACGTCGAACCATCAAAATAATCCACTAAATTCCACGAATTCTTCTATATTCTTCTATATCCCTCGAATTCTTCTAATATCTAAAAAAAAAACTGAATCATTCTTGGAACCGGCAAGATCGTATAAACACGTCTATGATCTAGAAACGAGGTCTTCTCAGAAACATTCCGAGCTCCGGAAAAGGGAGAAAATCCTACGAGCACTTATTTGAAATTCTACAAGTCTAACACACGACCGGAGCCTCGTCCCACGAATTCTATCAGCATTCCGAACCGTTTGAAACTCGATCCGCAACATGTAATAGTAATAATGACGCGATCTTTACAAGTAATCCCGACTCATTTCTTTCTGCGGCGACGAAAGGATACCGAGGACGAGGATCGAAAGGAAACCTGTTCCAATAAAGAATCCAATAAAAGGATTCCGTTCGTATACGGTACGAAAGGAAGACGAAATAAGTCGGCTCGAAAAAGACCGCGAGCGCGGCGGTAAAAATCGGTTGGATCGGAGACTCCGGAACGGTCCAGGCTTCGACGGCGACGACCGCGGCACGTAGAAATCGGACACCGCCTGAATTAATTAAAACAACAAAAAATGGAGATTGTTACAAGAGAGATTACAATCGAATCTAGGAAACGGATATTTATGCCCGAACATTGTGCGCGTGGAACGTCCGAGGAGCGAATTTTATACCGTGGTTCCCGAAGACGATCGATAACGTCGCCGCCGTTTTGCAATCAAGCCCGGAGGTCGTGTTGCCCGGCCTAATCGAAGATATTGTATGCACGAGTACTACAACGATCGCCGCGTGAATACACGACCTTGTAGGGGGCCACTGGCCCTGAGTTGAGTTATCCGTACACGGTGCGCCTTCGACCGGCTACGTGAATTCCTTAATGGTCAATAAATCGCCAAGGGTGGTTCTTATGTAACCATTACTGTGATTACACCACGTGACTATCCTATTCGAATCAATCACCTTCGAAAATCTTGCACAGCTTCGATCGCAATAATCGCATAATTCGTACGCACAGATTTGTTACGCGCTTGCAGCATCCACGATTGCCTGAACATCGACGTGTTGCGATATTTTAAACAATTCTGAGGAGATTCTAAAATATGCATGTTTCGCAGAATCTTTCTTCTTTCTATCGTGAAGGGACCAATTTTTTGAAAAACCGTTTTTTGGAAAATTCTTCCCGGTTCGTGAATGAAAATTTGAAGATTTCGTGTCCTGTGAAATGATTGAACTTTCGATAGCTTTCGAAATATGTGCATGCCTGTTTGCGACTGCGCATTGTTCTTCACTTTACGCCTAAATCATTCAATAAAATTTAACAGAGTAGTTAGCAGGATCAGCCAATTTTCGCATGACGCCGATTTCTGTAAGCTAGACAACAGAAACAATGATATTTTGCACACAAACATATATAATTTTGAATAATTTCAGTAATAGAAAATATTAATGTTTCCGTATTCACTCCGATCTGCGGTAGATCCTTTACAACAGTCACGTATTTCTAATCTTTGAGAAACCTTTTCGTTTTGAACGCTATATGTATTTAGCATTTGGATTTCTTCCCGTGAAAATGGACAGGCGCCCATGACAGGCTGTTATGCAGTAAATTCTCCCTAATTGATTCTCAGATTATGCACAGAAATGGACAATTAGGGAAGAGGAGATACGGTTATTCGAGCCTTTTGCGGCTCGTTTTTATAATTACTAATTGTGAACAACGATAAAAACGAGCTGCAAGATTTCCTAAATTGTCCATTTTTGTTCACAAACTGAAGAAAAATTAGAGTGAATTTACTGTATTATCAATCTTACAAAATCTAATACTTGATCCTACTTTCAAATGTGCTTCTCTGCACAATTAATTACTCTGATTTACACTCTCTCTTGCTTGCCCGTCCTACCTGATTACAGTAAATACTCCCTACTTTTCCTTCGACTTGTAAAGAAAAATGCACAGACGACTCATTTTTACAGTTGCCGATTGTCAAGGTTATGTCAAATGTGCTTCTCTGCACAATTAATTACTCTGATTTACACTCTCTCTTGCTTGCCCGTCCTACCTGATTACAGTAAATACTCCCTACTTTTCCTTCGACTTGTAAAGAAAAATGCACAGACGACTCATTTTTACAGTTGCCGATTGTCAAGGTTATGTCAAATGTGCTTCTCTGCACAATTAATTACTCTGATTTACACTCTCTCTTGCTTGCCCTCTCTATCTGATTACGGTAAATTCTCCCTAATTTTCCTTCGACTTGTAAAGAAAAATGCACGGACGACTCATTTTTACATTAGTTGCCGATTGTCAACAACTATCGAAACGAGACGCAAGGCTCGAATAATCGTGTCTCCTCTTCCCAAATTGTCCATGTTTGCTGAGCGTCAATTAGGGAGAAATTACCGTATTTCCAATCTTCGAGAAGCTTTTTCGTTTTCGAAGGCACTAGTACTTGGACTTATTCCCGAGAAAGTGGACGACGCCCTAGGAAATTTAACCCTTTGCAATCGAGTGGTGACTCTGTGACACCACTAAAATTGTTATATCATATTCCAAGACAATTTTCATATTAACAAAGTTTACATTTAAGAAATTGTTAAAAGTGTAACTGTTGTATAAGTCACCACAAGACTCAATTTCATGTGCACTTTGCATTTTCTTTTCCTTTTTTTGCACTTTCAAAATGCACTTTATCGTATAAAATGGAAACACTATAAGTCAGAAAAATTATTTTAGGTTTACTATTAAAATAGCTTCGAGTGCAAAGGGTTAAGATACGAGGGAATCATAAGTTGTTTTTATTTTTTATTCGAGTATCGCCGTCCACTATCGCGACACAGCTTCTTTCCCCAGCGATTCCGTCTCATTACTGCATCCCTAAATTTAATCTTCGCCGGTCCGACAAGATACGCGCCGCATTCTGTTTGCAAACTTGTCCGCGGGGCATCGACGCCGCTCGGGTAGGCGCCGTGGGTTGTGGGACGCAGTTTGTTTCAGGGCCCAAGTACTTTGGCACTGTTTACGAGCATATAATAAAAAGCAACCCCGACGCAACCGGTTTCCGAGGTGGGGGGCGCCTCGGTGATCGAACGGTGGCGTTAACCGTGCGAAATCGCGCGGACAAATTTTGCCCCGCGATATAAGAATACCGTGCATCGAATTAAAAAAAAAAAAAAAAGGAACGCGAGGTACTATCCGAAGAACGGGTCGTCGAACTTCCTCCGCCTTGTGCAAACATTGGGTAACCGAAACAAGGATCAAAAATTCCAGGCCGGGAGGAAGACGAAGAAGAAGACGAAGAGGGAGATGAAGCGGCAGCAAAAAAAAGAAGAATCCTGTTCGATGGTCGCGGGCTCGAGGACGCGCGTGAATGCCTTGTCGGCCATAAATCTCTCCGCGCGTATTTAAAGCGCGTTCAAGACGAGGAAAGTCCGAATTAGAACGGGCCCGTGGACCGTAATGGCGGCGACGAAGAAAAAAGGATCGCGCGGATCGAGATAGAATTCCAGTGCCACAACTTTCCCGGCTAACATCGCTTCGCAATTAAGCACGAAGATAATAGAGGATCGTGAATCCAACGGCACACCATTGAGATTTCGCCACCGAAGCCAAAGTGCGAGACGCGAGCTCCACCGATCTTCTGCGAAACCGAAGATCGACAGTCCTGAACGACTCGGGGTATTTTCGAAAAGGGGCCGGTTTGGCCACTAGTGGCACGGTCTCTTTGTCGATTATCTGTGTTCCGGTGCTTCTACGGGTTTCGAACCTCGAATTCTAAGATTAGAAAAACAGTAGTGCGAGAGGAAGTGGTTCTTTCAAGGAGAGAATCTAAATGAGAAACCTTAAGAATAATTAATGGACTGGATTAAATTGGAAAGAAACGTTTAGAATGTAATTTGTTAAATGCATCGTCGCAAACGGATATTACGTAAAAATCTGACGTATTTTTCAAATAGTTCGAATTAGTGGAAAATCGTGTAACGATATTCCGGAATTGTTTTGTCCTCGTTTGCACAAAATCCGCAGTCTAGTTATTCTGATTTTTACAGACCAACTAATGAAGCTTTGAATTTATACGAAAACCTGCAATATATAAAAGAATAATAAAGAATATACACGCATTGATGCAGTGAGTTCGAAAGCGAAAATCGCGAAGCTTCTAAATAAGTTTAACCGTAGCCCCAGAATGCAGTTTTCTCGTTTTTATCGAGACCGTTTGCGTTTACGTTTCTTTATGTTCGACACATTTTATTGTAACAAGGTCTAATTAGCCGAGCCCGGACCCTTCGCCATTTTAATACTCCTATTCCTGCCCTATGCCATATCTTATCGATGTACTTTTCCTACGTCCATTTATATATTCCAAAGTTCCATGCACGTCGCCGCGTTTCACGAAAAGGAATTCACTGAAATTTTGACTGCCGTGTGTTACCAATATTTTAAGAAAAAAATGATCGACCGAAGTTATTCGAATAAAACGTCAGCTGCGAGCCATAAAACTACTTGAAGATGCTAATTGGTATCGTGGATTCTCCGACGAAGATTATTAACGACCCGCCAATAGTGAGCGCTGAAAGAGCAATGAAAAGGATGAAGCTAAAACCGTGTTTACCGGTTTCGCCCTTTCAGGATCAGTTCAATGAACCATTAACCGCAAAGTTTGTTCTCGTCTCGAGACCCGAGACCCGAGACCACATTTTATACGTGGTCTTTGTTTCGAGTAAAAAAACAATTATAATATTTAAGCAAACCGAACAGAATAGAACCAAAACAAAGCAAAATATTTTTTCTATGCAATGCATTAAGTTAACATAGTAACCGACGTAAAGATAAAGCTAAAAGTAGTAACTCACCGTTCGATGGTCAGACATGGCTGACTACGTCCATAATCTACTTCAGCGCGTTGGACGGTCCGGCAAGTGATTCGAATGACTTATGACCCAAACGCGCAAGAGGAGACCATCAATTCTTATATGCTGAAACAAACACATATGACACTGTATACTTTATTTTCCTTGCTGTATGTAAAAACAGCTGTTTTACATTAGTTCATAAAAGTAACAATAATATTTATTTTAATTAAAATATTTTATTTTATGTAATATTTGCCGCAAGTAAAATATTATTAATTATATATAATATTATATAATAATATAAAATAATATATATAATAATAATATAATATATTATATACGTATATATATAATATATTATATAATAATGTATATTATATATTATTATATAATATTATTATATTGAATAAATAACTCATAAGTGGATCTTTCGTATCTGAATAAATGTAAATTAATAAATTTAGTGACCCGTCATTTTGTCGGGCCAACAATACACCGAATTTGAACATGAATCAACAGCGCTTTCTTTCGAACTTCTTGCAACTAATTTGATTTCATATTGATCTCATATTGGATCATATTGATTTCAAAACAAAACGCTATAGGCTTACCAAATACATCAGACATCGATGTCGGAACGATTTCTGTGATACTAGGCATAGCAGACATTTCTCCTCTTCCACTCGTCAGCCTCCCTTCGACGAAAATTGTAATATAACAGTGGGGACATGATCCTGCGTCGAAAAAGAGCGGCCAACACGCGAACGGGCACGAAGCCGCATAAAGGAAGAGACCGCGGACAAAAAAGAAGCTCTACAGAGAACGTATTATTTTCCTCGGCAAACAGAAATTCCAATAAGCTGTTGGCGCCCATCGGCGACCACGAGCACGGATCGCCGGGCCCCGCGTGAAAATAGAAACAAATAGGTGGGAACCGTGCTGCCCATACGATCCGTGGCCGCTCGAAGAAATTCCATTCATCGTGCCAGAAGGAAATGCACGCGGTATCGCTTGGCATTCGTGACGGTGCACGAGAATCACACGGCCGAGTAAGTTCACGGCCAACGTCCTTTACGTGCAGCCTTCCCTCGGCCTCTTCAAGGCCAACTCGTGGATTGTGCTCTCTATGCAAATGCCATTCGAAACCGGCATTCATATGCCCGGCCGAGGAACATCGGACGGCGGCAAATCAAAATCGATCCGGTTCCGTCACTGTGCGCCTTGCATAATCACCAACAGAGAGACAGAAACAGAGAGAGAAAGATGAGAGAGCCAACGGGAGAGACACAGAGAGAGAGAGAGAGAGAGAGAGATCCCCTCGTCCACCATTTTCGACCCCGAGCGAAATTACAGATTCCTGATACTTATCGGATAACAGGTCCGCATTACCCGTTACCGAACTGGGCAAATTGGACACGGATCTTCGGATCGAATGACAAATCGGGCCGCTTTGACTATATTCTTCTACAGCTCGGAGAGCAAAAGAGGAAGAGAGAGAGAGAGAGAGAGAGAGAGAGAGGAGGGAAAGGCTGAAATCAGAACTGTGTTTTCGATGACCAGTGTGGACCCGTTACCGGATCGTTTGACCATTCTTCTCGATCGACCGAACACGATCCGCGAAACGGTAAATGGAAATCGAGGCGATTTTTTGCGTTAGACGTTCTTATATCGACAATTTATTTCGCTGCTGTCTGCTTCTTCTAGGCGACGCGAACACGTCATAAGCGTCCGATCATAACTTCTTCGAAAAATATACCGGACGAAATGGTGCCGATCGTTTGCGCCAGTTAACGGTGGATGATAGAAATGGTATCTAATATTTTCGCGCGCGTTCACTGTCGCAGAAATCTAGTGACCAAAGCTGGACAGATTTCGAACTGAGACGAGGAATTAAATTTGTTTATGAAGTACGGTAGAACCTCGTTTATCAGATTATTTTTATTATTATTTATTTATGTTTATTATTATTATTTATCAATTGTATGAACTACTTGAGGCCGGAACTCTGTTATTTGAACTACCAAGCGAATCTCTGTTATCTATACTGTTCACATGCACTGTACTAATACATGTTTTACTCTTATGCACATGTGATGATTATGTGCTTATTTTTACTCTTTATTACTCTTATGCGCTCTTATGAACTTGTACGGAACACAAGATGCGAACAATCCGACCACTGTTTACTTTCTATTATCCAAACGATACGACTCTTAACCCCCTGACATACTATTTTCTTCGCAAGTTACTGCGATTAGAAATGTTTCGGTTGCAATAATTTCTTAGATGGGAAAGGAAATTGATGCTAAATTTACTTGAATGCTTGATTTCAAGAGATCAGAATTTTATTCCAATTTTAAAGGACCGAATAACATCTCTATTCAATAAGTTAGTACTAGAAATTTTCATGACGAGTCGAACTCGTCAAGGTATGGCAAGGGGTTAAGGATAGCAATGGATCTCGATTAACTGAACGTAAGAGGTGAAACAAAAATGCGGCAGTACCGCAAGCGAAACTCTATTATCTGAACTGCCTTGTCCCGCGAGCTATTCGCATAAACGAGATACGGTAATCAGTCAGATACAGTCTCTCTAACTGACGTTCAGATTGTGCACAAAAATGGACAATTTGGGAAGAGGAGATACGATTATTCGAGTCTTGCGGTTCGTTTTCATAGTTACCGATTGTCAACAACTGTAAAAAAAAACGAGCTACAAGGCTCGAATAATCGTATCTCCTCTTCCCAAATTGTCCATTCTTTTGCACAATTCATGCGACAATTAAGGAGACATTACTACTAGTAGAAAATATTTATACTGTACTACTGTAGAAAATATCTTGCGATAAAAATAGGACAGAAATGTCATTAATGTGTAGGGAAAAAATGAGTAGACCGATCGGACAGATCAGAGATTAAAACCCGGATCTTTCGTTTGCCGGCGACTGCTTTTAACCGATTAAGCCATCTCGGCTGATCGACGACTAATTCCCTCCTAGTCCTTATAACGTAAACACCTCGGGAATACCGATTCCTACAAATGTTTGCTGCTACACGTGCGTATCCCTACATTCTAAACGTAAAAATTCCATGTTACGTAAAACGATCCGTCGTCTAATAATGATAGGGAAAACTCTTGATCGATAGAGGTGCTTAAGGAAAAGGGCAAACTGCAAACACAGTATATTGCAAAGCGGAAAACACTGAACGCAGGTTCGAGGAAGCGTTCAATCATCCCCAGACACTAAGGAAAGTTTCTAAGAAACTCTATCATCAAGGCCGATCCCAACCTGTTCCGATACCTTGCCATCCCGCTTAATCTTTCGTGACTTTCATGCTAAAGGGGCACGCGCGTCCATCGTTCGAGCAGTGTTTTTCCCCATGTTGTCGTCCGAAACACTTTCTGCTATAGATAGCACCGCAGCAGGAGGCGATTGCAGAACTACGGCAAAATCGTAAAGTGCTTAATAGCGTGGCGTTTCACACGGACTCGTTTAAGAGGAGAATAAGAGCGTTCGAACAAAAAACATGGCACGCAACACCGCGCAACGACGCGTCCCATCCGACCAAAACGAACTCGGGACAAGGATCGGTGATTGGTATTGGTGCGGTCGAACCACTCAATCTTCTAGATGGCAATGTTCGCCCTCTAGTCACCCTTTCCTTCGCCGGTGGCTGAACTGTGCCCGGAGATGATCAGCAACCGCTAAGCACACCCAAAAATACACATCCAACGAACTTCTTAAGATCTCCGCGCACCATGTACTCCATTACTAAGTACAGTAAATTCTAAAAACTAATTGACGCTCAGCTTGGAAAGAGAAATTGACAATTTGTGAAGAGGAGATACGATTATTCGAGCCTTGCGCCTCGTTTTTATAATTGCTGACAATCGGCGGCTGTAAAAATCGCGCCTCCACTTCCCAAACTGTCCATTTTTCTTTCCAAGCCGAGCGTCAGTTAGGGAGAATTTACTGTAGACACTGAATACAGATTGCAATGAAAAAAATAATTGTACGCAATACGGACTATGAGTAATACCAGATACTCGAGAGTAGTCTCCCGACACAGCAGAAGAAATAACCGAGTTCGGCGATGACTGGAACTTATTGCAATTTCGTTGTAAGGCAGGCAGCAAGTTGATGCCTGGCGTGCTTCCTTCACTGACGTTCGAATCATTTGCAGATTTCTGTACAGAACCAAAAGATAAGTGAGAAGTCAACGACAGAAGCTGTCCAGGTGTTCTTGTACAAAGGCTGGGTGTACAATTTACTAAATCAGATATTTCGAGATCTCTATGCAAAGATATGTTACTCAGTCCAAAGTCTGTCAGCTTGACATGCCCTTCTCGTGACAAAAGCATATTGTCTGGCTTTAAATCTCTGTGTACGATTCCATGGGAGTGAAGGTATTCCAACGCTAGACATACTTCCGCGGTATAAAAAGCTGCCATGGATTCTTCCATATAGCCATACACACCCAACAAACTCTTAAGATCTCCGCCCACCATGTACTCCATTACTAAGTAGACACTGCGTACAGATTGCAACGAATAAAATAATTGTACGCAATATGGACTATGAGTTATGGCCAATGCATTTCGCTCTATTATTACTTGCGAGGCCATGTTTTTGTTGATCATCTCATTTTTCTTCATCACTTTGATTGCATATACTTTCTCAGGATTAGATTTGTTGTACCCAAGGAATACTTTACCAAATGCTCCACGGCTTATAGGCTTTACAATTTTGAAATCCTGAATCTCTGGTACCTGACAATTAAACAATGTAAAATAGAAAAATCAGTCTGTTAATTATAGAGAATTATAATAAACGGAAAAGCATGGAATAAACTTAAGATATACAATATCTAAAGAAATGGCTTAATACCTGATTCAGTGGATATGCAAACACGTTGACAAGAAATAAGATAAAGTAGTTATATGATAATTGAATAGAATATTTTTTGTTTACCTTTGCTGCAGGATTCACGATTTTAGATATGGTATTAAAAATAGAATTGTCGATTTGTCTACTAGTCGATGCTTGCTGCGGTGTACACACCCCGTACGGAATCTCCTGTTCACATCCAATGTCATTGTTGATCTTACTTGCATTCTCATCATCTGTCNGCATATTGTCTGGCTTTAAATCTCTGTGTACGATTCCATGGGAGTGAAGGTATTCCAACGCTAGACATACTTCCGCGGTATAAAAAGCTGCCATGGATTCTTCCATATAGCCATACACACCCAACAAACTCTTAAGATCTCCGCCCACCATGTACTCCATTACTAAGTAGACACTGCGTACAGATTGCAACGAATAAAATAATTGTACGCAATATGGACTATGAGTTATGGCCAATGCATTTCGCTCTATTATTACTTGCGAGGCCATGTTTTTGTTGATCATCTCATTTTTCTTCATCACTTTGATTGCATATACTTTCTCAGGATTAGATTTGTTGTACCCAAGGAATACTTTACCAAATGCTCCACGGCTTATAGGCTTTACAATTTTGAAATCCTGAATCTCTGGTACCTGACAATTAAACAATGTAAAATAGAAAAATCAGTCTGTTAATTATAGAGAATTATAATAAACGGAAAAGCATGGAATAAACTTAAGATATACAATATCTAAAGAAATGGCTTAATACCTGATTCAGTGGATATGCAAACACGTTGACAAGAAATAAGATAAAGTAGTTATATGATAATTGAATAGAATATTTTTTGTTTACCTTTGCTGCAGGATTCACGATTTTAGATACGGTATTAAAAATAGAATTGTCGATTTGTCTACTAGTCGATGCCTGCTGCGGTGTACACACCCCGTACGGAATCTCCTGTTCACATCCAATGTCATTGTTGATCTTACTTGCATTCTCATCATCTGTCACAATGATTGGATCACTACTGTCTAGACGTGAATTTAGCGAGTGACCAGCCGCCTCTTCCATTTAAAAAAGTAACCTAAGCGTGATCTTGTCGCGAACGTACGTATTGGATGTGCAAAAACGTTGGCCGAAACGAACTCGGTAGAAGGATCGGTAATTCTTCCAGATGGAAATGTTCGCCCTCTACTCACCCTTTCCTTCGCCGGTGGCTGGACTGTGCCCGGAGGTGGTCAGCAACCGCTAAAAGAACAAGAGGAGATCCCGATGACTCCCGGTGACTCGTCGTGTCGAACCTGCTAGGGGCAAAGAACAGCGGAGTGCCCGAGAGGGGAGAACGAGCCCGTTATAAGCTCGAGCACCGGCTATTCAGCAGCTTAGCAAGTTAGTGTCGGTCCCAGGGTCCCTACTGGTAACAGCGACCGGGCCCTAACGACTCGCGATCCACCAGGCCCACCGTGTCGTTTGTTTCCCCTTCAGTTACCGCGATCGAACGTGGACCGACGCCGGTCGTCGTCCAGGATGGTGACGGTGCTCGTCGTGCAGGCACTCCTCGCCGTCTTAATCCTCGCGGACACCAGCTACGCGGATCCAGCGGGCAAACCGGTCGTCTTCGAGTCCTCGCTGGACGAGCTGGGGGAACAGGACGATAACGCGGTGGTCATCGAAGGTGAGTCGCGCTAATCCCGAGTGGATCCGCGTCCGAAATTAGTCCGAATTTTCGCCTCGATTCGCACGATTCACACTCCGCTCGATCATCCTGCGCGACAATAGAAAAGTAGCAGTAGTTCGTAAGATATTGTTACATGAGAAATCGTAGATTACTCGAGCCTGGTCTATCGTCGAAACAGAGAACAATCGTTATCACGCGTGACCGCTTTCCCAATGTTTGCGTCCATCTCCTTCATCTTCGAGTTCCACCATCGAGATCGCAATTCCGTACGATCCGTGTTGTCGATTTTCCCTCGGCGTTGCTCGACCGTTCTCGCTAATGTGAAAATGTTTTTGAAGTACGTGTGAATGGTTCCGAGCATTGACAAACGATCCGCGCGCGCGCGCGTTCCATAGACGGCAAACGGAAGTCTTCGAGCCGCGCGACACATGTGTACACCTGTGCGAAGAATCCTGGGTCAGCGAACTCGCTGTCAATAAATCCAGCTGGAATTCTATTATAAATATATATCTCATCGTACCAGTGAATCGAAAGATGAACATTCGGCAACGCGGCGCCGATCGCGGTCGCGCCAATCGCCGCGAAGTGGGTCATTTTCTTGGTCCTTTGCAATTAAAATTCTCTGCAACAATAGGACGTATCAGAATGTGTCCGTCGAACATGAGAGGAATACCATTCGCGGGCGCTGAGAACAACGCACGGGTCTCGCTCGGTTTCGAGATAACGTTTTGCACGTGGTTCGATGTAAATTCACGGGAAGCACCGCGGCACCGTGATCGCCAGGCGAAACAACGGCCAGGCGAGAACCGAAAATAGTTTTGCAGTCGCTTTTCACGAGGAACGTGAGCGAAGGCAAAAAGGCCCGGTGTCGGTAAACGCGCGATCTTTTTACAAATGTGCCGCGCGGGGACAAAAGCGTAGCTCGGGCAATCTACATTCGTTACAACGGTAGACGATGTGTCATTCACTGGTGGGCATCGTTAACGCATGCACGTGCACTCTTCGCCTCGCGACGCTTCTCTTTTTAGTTGAGCGGAACGGTTTGTTGAAAAATGGAAGGGAAGCTTAGAATTCGTAAATAGAGACGTCGATGTTCGGAGACCTCGATGCGTGGATATATGTGTGCGATACAAAAGTTGTGCTGATCAGGACCAACATTCATTTATTTATTTACATTTCTCCGAAGTACAGTAAATTCTCCCTAGTCGACGCTCGGATTGTGCACAGAAATGGACAACTTGGGAAGGGGAGATACGATTATTCGAATCTTGCGGCACATTTTTATAATTACCAATTGTGAACAATAATAAAAACGAGCCGCAATGCTCGAATAATCGTGTCTCCTCGTCCCAAATTGTCCATTTTTTTGCACAATTTAGGCGACAATTAGTGTACATTACTGTACAATAAATTCTCTCTAATTGATGCTCAGAAAAGTGGACAATTTGGGAAGAGGAGATACGATAATTCGAGCCTTCCGGCCCATTTTTATAGCTGTTGACAATCGGTAACTATAATAACGAGCCGCAAGGCTCTAATAATCCTGTCTCCTCGTCCCAAACTGTCTATTTTTTGCACAATTTAGGCGACAATTAGTGTACATTACTGTACAGTAAATTCTCTCTAATTGACACTCAGAGAAATGGACAATTTGGGAAAAGGAGATACGATTATTCGAGCCTTGCGGCCCATTTTTATAACTGTTGACAATCGGTAACTATAACAACGAGCCGCAAGGCTCGAATAATCGTGTCTCCTCGTCCCAAATTGTCCATTTTTTGTATACAAGCTGAGCGTCAATTAGGGAGAATTTACTGTACTCTCTTTATAAAAGTTCAACAATTCTTCTCATAATATATAATATCTTCGCCTTCCTCTTTAAATAAAATGTCGTCTCCTAACAGCATTAAAGATTCATTTTTTAATAACATAACGTACTGTTTCTGTGAGCAGCCGCGGATCTCTTGGATGCTGGAACCGAGGGAAGAGGCGGCCGCGGCATCCTGTGGAAGGGTGGTTCCGATCGCGAGTTCTGTCTGACGTCGAAAGGCGAGGTTGGTCGTTGCACCAGCTTCAAGGAGTGCTATCCCTACTTCAAGATCCCGGATCTAAGTGCTCTCGACGGCTGGGTTCTTGGAGTTTACGACACCTGCAGCTACGTACAGGAGTGCGGTCAAACGTATTTTGGCATCTGTTGCTCGAATCTGCTTCCGGTTGTTACGCCACCGCCGCCGAGCGACGAGGACCCCATTGATCCGATCATAGAGGACACGCAGGTAATTGTGTTTGGTCGACGTCGGTTCCCCATTGATCGGTAGCTTGATCAGGATGGGGTCCCGAGTTGACCGACCACCAGACGATCGATCGTGGAGTTCGGTTAGTTCCCAGGAACTCGTAAAAATAATACGTGATGCGGATCGAGAGCGTTAGATCCAGCGTAGAAAGTTTCAGCTGAGCTCTATCGGTTTCGCAAACGAAACTTTTACGACTCTCTTTAACTACCGTGGCTGGTCGCGCGCCGTTCCTTCCGTAAAATTCGAAGCCGGATCGGCTCCTTGCTCTCGTTACGTTCGCCAAAACGCTCATGTTACTTGTAAACGGTTCGCAGGAGTCGGACGACAAGAATAAGGAAGTCGTGACCGTAAAACCGAAGCCGCTACTACCCGGTTCATGGCCGCCGCCGATCCCGACGCATCCTCCTGATCACACCGTGCCTCCGTTACCGACCCATCCGCCGTACCTCGATTTAGCGACACTCTCCACGTTGAAACCAGTTTCGACCTCGAAAAAACCGAGCTTAGGCACGACCTGGCCAACGAAGAAACCTGCCTGGTGGCCAGGTGCGCCGACCACAACGCCGATCACTGAGAAACCATCGTTGGGAAGCATTTCCGCCCTGGACCCATCGCAATGCGGAGCGAAGAACGGTTTCCAAGACCAGAAACGCATCGTAGGCGGCCACAACGTCGAGCCCGGCGAGTGGCCTTGGATGGCGGCGCTCTTCAACGCCGGCAGACAATTCTGCGGCGGCTCGCTCATCGATGATAAACACATTCTCACCGCGGCTCATTGCGTTGCCAAGTAAGTCGCGAAAAGACGGACCGCATGACAAAATCGCCCACGAGGAATGTCCGCGTTCGGAGGAGGATTCGGCTCGGTTTGTAATCGCTTAAACGACCCTAACTAGCTCGTGCCGTACGCGTCGTTGTCTTTCGAACTTGCGCATTTTTGCTGTATCGGTAGGATCACGCAGGATCTTCGGGATTACTTAATTAGCTCTAACCGCTATTTATGCTAATCTAGTCTCGACGGTGCTTCTAGTTACTTGGATTTAATCGCCCAAACTCTGTTGGACGATGTTTCAACTGATTGAACGGTTAACTTGTTCGCAGTATGAATCCTTGGGACGTGGCAAGATTAACAGTCCGACTTGGTGATCACAACATCAAGACCAACACCGAAATCAGGCATATCGAGCGACGGGTGAAACGGGTGGTCAGACACAGAGGATTCAATTTACGTACTTTATACAACGATGTCGCGCTCCTGACTCTCAGCGAACCCGTCGCATTCTCGGAACAGATACGACCCATCTGCCTCCCCAGCGGCTCCCAGCTGTACTCTGGGAAAACCGCTACGGTTATTGGCTGGGGCTCTTTGAGAGAAAGTCGGTGCAAAATGATTTCTGTATTCTTAGCTTGACTCTTTCATAATCTCACATTGACGTGGAACAACGTGCGTTTCTTCAAGGTGGACCACAGCCGGCAATACTCCAGGAGGTGTCGATACCAATTTGGTCAAACGGTGAATGCAAATTGAAGTATGGTGCAGCCGCACCAGGTGGTATCGTGGACAGCTTCTTGTGCGCAGGCAGAGCTGCGAAGGACTCCTGCTCGGTGTGTATCGTGATGTTTGTTTCTTCCGTCCCTTTGGTATTTTACTAATGTATTATTTGTTTACAGGGTGACAGTGGTGGTCCATTGATGGTCAACGACGGCCGCTGGACGCAAGTTGGTATCGTCAGCTGGGGCATTGGATGCGGTAAAGGTCAATATCCAGGTGTCTACACAAGAGTGACGCACTTCCTGCCCTGGATCCACAAGAATTTGAAGTGAAAACGCTCCAAGGAACATCGAATTCTTGCTCGATAAAGTATTTCGCTCGTTATCATTCCGTTCATCATCGAACAACGCGGTACATCGTCATATAGGATAATGAGGTTTTATAGACGCACAGACCTAACAGCCCTCGTTCCGTCAGTCATAAAAAGCTATCAACGATGCTTGTTTTATTCCGCTCTTATAACCATGACCAAGCGAGGAAGCATAGCAATTAAGTCAGGAATCTTCACCTAGAGATAAGCGAACGCACAGAAACTTGTAAGTCGTAACAAAATATTTTATAGTATTATACATTTACAACTATATGAAAAAATTAGTGTTACGTTGTGTAACAATTTGTGTGTTAATGGTGCCTACTCCCGTCCAAACGGTGCCTCCACAGGAGTCACGTGTCGCAGCTGCTCACGTTCAAATGCTGCATAATGTTCCGTGCTGAAAATGGAAAAGAGATTCAAATAGTTACATATCCTCCTTATTTTTAATGATACAATTTGAATGGTCTCGACAGTTGGAATGGAAATGACATCTAAACATTCTTTGGTGAACCAGTTTGTTCGCCGTTAATGAACTAGCTAATTATCGTCATGTTGACAAAACTTGCCTTGAAAATAGCATGTATCATAATTGTCATCGGGTTGAGGAACAAACGGTGGGACGGTTTTCAGCGGATCGTTCCAGGGGAAGTCCTGGAAGAGACTCATAGTCCGCACTTCTTTGGCGGACGGACGCTCGTGTTGATCTAGTGTCAGAAGGGCATCGATGGCCTCTGTGGCTGCGACCGACAGAGCTTCGTTGTCCTCTGGCCATGGAATGTCTTTAGCTAAAATATTGGCAAAGACAGCTTGCGGTGTCTCGTCGTTAAACGGCGGTACACCGGTGCAGAATTCAAAAAGACAGACTCCCAAGGCCCACCAATCTACCGCCGAACCATGACCTTGTTTCAGAAGCAACTCTGGAGCCAAGTAATCCGGTGTTCCAAGTATACGGTCATCTGATCTGTTAGCACCAGATTGGCCGCCTCTTCTAACAGACTTTGGTGTTCTGTAAGGTGTGTAACAGTTACTTGAGCTTGCCGGTGTTTTGATAGGAGATATACTTTGAGGCGAACGGGCCTGGCCCGATATATCGCCAGGTGTATCGGTGACTGAACGCGACGTAGAAGCGGTGGGCAGTGGAAGCTGAAATCTTGTAGCTTTGACCAAGGTTACTATTTCTGGTTCATCTTTCTCCTCTTCCTCCTCGATGTTACATTTCTGTTGATTCCTCTCCTTTTGTTTCATGAATGACACTGGCGTACTGAAAGCGACTCTTCCGCCTGAACCAGTTTCTTGTCCTCCGTTTACATCGCTGATGTTATTCGATGGCTTCAACGATGCAGAGATATCGGAATTGTTAGGACTCCTGGAAAATATACAGCCCCGGTTTTTCCTTTTGGGCGTTTTGTCCATGTCCAAATCTATGGCGTTTATCTCGCATGTTAGACCCGTTGTACCCCCCGCAGGAGCCCTCTTTCTCTTCGCACCCCTTGCAAACATTGTCACGCATGTGCTCAACGGACTAGTATGGAAAACGGTATGCTGAGATTGCTCCGCTTCTAATGTAGACTCGTCTTCGTCGTCCCCATCTTGATTCAATTGACTATTAGCGCGGACTGAAGAAGCTTCGCAAGTGTGATAACTTCCAGAACTACTCTCCTGTTCCTCTCCGATACTTGTAGTTCTGATATTGTTTCCAAAGTGATCCCCTAACCGAAGGTCTTCGGCCGATTGAAAAGGTGTAATACCAGATACTCGAGAGTAGTCTCCCGACGCAGCAGAAGAAATAACCGAGTTCGGCGATGACTGGAACTTATTGCAATTTCGTTGTAAGGCAGGCAGCAAGTTAATGCCCGGCGTGCTTCCTTCACTGACATTCGAATCACTTGCGGATTTCTGTCCAGAACCAAAAGATAAGTGAGAAGTCAACGACAGAAGCTGCCCAGGTGTTCTTGTACAAAGACTGGGTGTACAATTTACTAAATCAGATATTTCGAGATCTCTGTGCAAAGATATGTTACTCAGTCCAAAGTCTGTCAGCTTGACATGCCCTTCTCGTGACAAAAGCATATTGTCTGGCTTTAAATCTCTGTGTACGATTCCATGGGAGTGAAGGTATTCCAANCAAAGTCTGTCAGCTTGACATGCCCTTCTCGTGACAAAAGCATATTGTCTGGCTTTAAATCTCTGTGTACGATTCCATGGGAGTGAAGGTATTCCAACGCTAGACATACTTCCGCGGTATAAAAAGCTGCCATGGATTCTTCCATATAGCCATACACACCCAACAAACTCTTAAGATCTCCGCCCACCATGTACTCCATTACTAAGTAGACACTGCGTACAGATTGCAACGAATAAAATAATTGTACGCAATATGGACTATGAGTTATGGCCAATGCATTTCGCTCTATTATTACTTGCGAGGCCATGTTTTTGTTGATCATCTCATTTTTCTTCATCACTTTGATTGCATATACTTTCTCAGGATTAGATTTTTTGTACCCAAGGAATACTTTACCAAATGCTCCACGGCTTATAGGCTTTACAATTTTGAAATCCTGAATCTCTGGTACCTGACAATTAAACAATGTAAAATAGAAAAATCAGTCTGTTAATTATAGAGAATTATAATAAACGGAAAAGCATGGAATATATTTAAGATATACAATATCTAAACAATTTACTTAATACCTGATTCAATGGATATGCAAACACGTTGACAAGAAATAAGATAAAGTAGTTATATGATAATTGAATAGAATATTTTTTGTTTACCTTTGCTGCAGGATTCACGATTTTAGATATGGTATTAAAAATAGAATTGTCGATTTGTCTACTAGTCGATGCTTGCTGCGGTGTACACACCCCGTACGGAATCTCCTGTTCACATCCAATGTCATTGTTGATCTTACTTGCATTCTCATCATCTGTCACAATGATTGGATCACTACTGTCTAGACGTGAATTTAGCGAGTGACCAGCCGCCTCTTCCATTTAAAAAAGTAACCTAAGCGTGATCTTGTCGCGAACGTACGTATTGGATGTGCAAAAACGTTGGCCGAAACGAACTCGGTAGAAGGATCGGTAATTCTTCCAGATGGAAATGTTCGCCCTCTACTCACCCTTTCCTTCGCCGGTGGCTGGACTGTGCCCGGAGGTGGTCAGCAACCGCTAAAAGAACAAGAGGAGATCCCGATGACTCCCGGTGACTCGTCGTGTCGAACCTGCTAGGGGCAAAGAACAGCGGAGTGCCCGAGAGGGGAGAACGAGCCCGTTATAAGCTCGAGCACCGGCTATTCAGCAGCTTAGCAAGTTAGTGTCGGTCCCAGGGTCCCTACTGGTAACAGCGACCGGGCCCTAACGACTCGCGATCCACCAGGCCCACCGTGTCGTTTGTTTCCCCTTCAGTTACCGCGATCGAACGTGGACCGACGCCGGTCGTCGTCCAGGATGGTGACGGTGCTCGTCGTGCAGGCACTCCTCGCCGTCTTAATCCTCGCGGACACCAGCTACGCGGATCCAGCGGGCAAACCGGTCGTCTTCGAGTCCTCGCTGGACGAGCTGGGGGAACAGGACGATAACGCGGTGGTCATCGAAGGTGAGTCGCGCTAATCCCGAGTGGATCCGCGTCCGAAATTAGTCCGAATTTTCGCCTCGATTCGCACGATTCACACTCCGCTCGATCATCCTGCGCGACAATAGAAAAGTAGCAGTAGTTCGTAAGATATTGTTACATGAGAAATCGTAGATTACTCGAGCCTGGTCTATCGTCGAAACAGAGAACAATCGTTATCACGCGTGACCGCTTTCCCAATGTTTGCGTCCATCTCCTTCATCTTCGAGTTCCACCATCGAGATCGCAATTCCGTACGATCCGTGTTGTCGATTTTCCCTCGGCGTTGCTCGACCGTTCTCGCTAATGTGAAAATGTTTTTGAAGTACGTGTGAATGGTTCCGAGCATTGACAAACGATCCGCGCGCGCGCGCGTTCCATAGACGGCAAACGGAAGTCTTCGAGCCGCGCGACACATGTGTACACCTGTGCGAAGAATCCTGGGTCAGCGAACTCGCTGTCAATAAATCCAGCTGGAATTCTATTATAAATATATATCTCATCGTACCAGTGAATCGAAAGATGAACATTCGGCAACGCGGCGCCGATCGCGGTCGCGCCAATCGCCGCGAAGTGGGTCATTTTCTTGGTCCTTTGCAATTAAAATTCTCTGCAACAATAGGACGTATCAGAATGTGTCCGTCGAACATGAGAGGAATACCATTCGCGGGCGCTGAGAACAACGCACGGGTCTCGCTCGGTTTCGAGATAACGTTTTGCACGTGGTTCGATGTAAATTCACGGGAAGCACCGCGGCACCGTGATCGCCAGGCGAAACAACGGCCAGGCGAGAACCGAAAATAGTTTTGCAGTCGCTTTTCACGAGGAACGTGAGCGAAGGCAAAAAGGCCCGGTGTCGGTAAACGCGCGATCTTTTTACAAATGTGCCGCGCGGGGACAAAAGCGTAGCTCGGGCAATCTACATTCGTTACAACGGTAGACGATGTGTCATTCACTGGTGGGCATCGTTAACGCATGCACGTGCACTCTTCGCCTCGCGACGCTTCTCTTTTTAGTTGAGCGGAACGGTTTGTTGAAAAATGGAAGGGAAGCTTAGAATTCGTAAATAGAGACGTCGATGTTCGGAGACCTCGATGCGTGGATATATGTGTGCGATACAAAAGTTGTGCTGATCAGGACCAACATTCATTTATTTATTTACATTTCTCCGAAGTACAGTAAATTCTCCCTAGTCGACGCTCGGATTGTGCACAGAAATGGACAACTTGGGAAGGGGAGATACGATTATTCGAATCTTGCGGCACATTTTTATAATTACCAATTGTGAACAATAATAAAAACGAGCCGCAATGCTCGAATAATCGTGTCTCCTCGTCCCAAATTGTCCATTTTTTTGCACAATTTAGGCGACAATTAGTGTACATTACTGTACAATAAATTCTCTCTAATTGATGCTCAGAAAAGTGGACAATTTGGGAAGAGGAGATACGATAATTCGAGCCTTCCGGCCCATTTTTATAGCTGTTGACAATCGGTAACTATAATAACGAGCCGCAAGGCTCTAATAATCCTGTCTCCTCGTCCCAAACTGTCTATTTTTTGCACAATTTAGGCGACAATTAGTGTACATTACTGTACAGTAAATTCTCTCTAATTGACACTCAGAGAAATGGACAATTTGGGAAAAGGAGATACGATTATTCGAGCCTTGCGGCCCATTTTTATAACTGTTGACAATCGGTAACTATAACAACGAGCCGCAAGGCTCGAATAATCGTGTCTCCTCGTCCCAAATTGTCCATTTTTTGTATACAAGCTGAGCGTCAATTAGGGAGAATTTACTGTACTCTCTTTATAAAAGTTCAACAATTCTTCTCATAATATATAATATCTTCGCCTTCCTCTTTAAATAAAATGTCGTCTCCTAACAGCATTAAAGATTCATTTTTTAATAACATAACGTACTGTTTCTGTGAGCAGCCGCGGATCTCTTGGATGCTGGAACCGAGGGAAGAGGCGGCCGCGGCATCCTGTGGAAGGGTGGTTCCGATCGCGAGTTCTGTCTGACGTCGAAAGGCGAGGTTGGTCGTTGCACCAGCTTCAAGGAGTGCTATCCCTACTTCAAGATCCCGGATCTAAGTGCTCTCGACGGCTGGGTTCTTGGAGTTTACGACACCTGCAGCTACGTACAGGAGTGCGGTCAAACGTATTTTGGCATCTGTTGCTCGAATCTGCTTCCGGTTGTTACGCCACCGCCGCCGAGCGACGAGGACCCCATTGATCCGATCATAGAGGACACGCAGGTAATTGTGTTTGGTCGACGTCGGTTCCCCATTGATCGGTAGCTTGATCAGGATGGGGTCCCGAGTTGACCGACCACCAGACGATCGATCGTGGAGTTCGGTTAGTTCCCAGGAACTCGTAAAAATAATACGTGATGCGGATCGAGAGCGTTAGATCCAGCGTAGAAAGTTTCAGCTGAGCTCTATCGGTTTCGCAAACGAAACTTTTACGACTCTCTTTAACTACCGTGGCTGGTCGCGCGCCGTTCCTTCCGTAAAATTCGAAGCCGGATCGGCTCCTTGCTCTCGTTACGTTCGCCAAAACGCTCATGTTACTTGTAAACGGTTCGCAGGAGTCGGACGACAAGAATAAGGAAGTCGTGACCGTAAAACCGAAGCCGCTACTACCCGGTTCATGGCCGCCGCCGATCCCGACGCATCCTCCTGATCACACCGTGCCTCCGTTACCGACCCATCCGCCGTACCTCGATTTAGCGACACTCTCCACGTTGAAACCAGTTTCGACCTCGAAAAAACCGAGCTTAGGCACGACCTGGCCAACGAAGAAACCTGCCTGGTGGCCAGGTGCGCCGACCACAACGCCGATCACTGAGAAACCATCGTTGGGAAGCATTTCCGCCCTGGACCCATCGCAATGCGGAGCGAAGAACGGTTTCCAAGACCAGAAACGCATCGTAGGCGGCCACAACGTCGAGCCCGGCGAGTGGCCTTGGATGGCGGCGCTCTTCAACGCCGGCAGACAATTCTGCGGCGGCTCGCTCATCGATGATAAACACATTCTCACCGCGGCTCATTGCGTTGCCAAGTAAGTCGCGAAAAGACGGACCGCATGACAAAATCGCCCACGAGGAATGTCCGCGTTCGGAGGAGGATTCGGCTCGGTTTGTAATCGCTTAAACGACCCTAACTAGCTCGTGCCGTACGCGTCGTTGTCTTTCGAACTTGCGCATTTTTGCTGTATCGGTAGGATCACGCAGGATCTTCGGGATTACTTAATTAGCTCTAACCGCTATTTATGCTAATCTAGTCTCGACGGTGCTTCTAGTTACTTGGATTTAATCGCCCAAACTCTGTTGGACGATGTTTCAACTGATTGAACGGTTAACTTGTTCGCAGTATGAATCCTTGGGACGTGGCAAGATTAACAGTCCGACTTGGTGATCACAACATCAAGACCAACACCGAAATCAGGCATATCGAGCGACGGGTGAAACGGGTGGTCAGACACAGAGGATTCAATTTACGTACTTTATACAACGATGTCGCGCTCCTGACTCTCAGCGAACCCGTCGCATTCTCGGAACAGATACGACCCATCTGCCTCCCCAGCGGCTCCCAGCTGTACTCTGGGAAAACCGCTACGGTTATTGGCTGGGGCTCTTTGAGAGAAAGTCGGTGCAAAATGATTTCTGTATTCTTAGCTTGACTCTTTCATAATCTCACATTGACGTGGAACAACGTGCGTTTCTTCAAGGTGGACCACAGCCGGCAATACTCCAGGAGGTGTCGATACCAATTTGGTCAAACGGTGAATGCAAATTGAAGTATGGTGCAGCCGCACCAGGTGGTATCGTGGACAGCTTCTTGTGCGCAGGCAGAGCTGCGAAGGACTCCTGCTCGGTGTGTATCGTGATGTTTGTTTCTTCCGTCCCTTTGGTATTTTACTAATGTATTATTTGTTTACAGGGTGACAGTGGTGGTCCATTGATGGTCAACGACGGCCGCTGGACGCAAGTTGGTATCGTCAGCTGGGGCATTGGATGCGGTAAAGGTCAATATCCAGGTGTCTACACAAGAGTGACGCACTTCCTGCCCTGGATCCACAAGAATTTGAAGTGAAAACGCTCCAAGGAACATCGAATTCTTGCTCGATAAAGTATTTCGCTCGTTATCATTCCGTTCATCATCGAACAACGCGGTACATCGTCATATAGGATAATGAGGTTTTATAGACGCACAGACCTAACAGCCCTCGTTCCGTCAGTCATAAAAAGCTATCAACGATGCTTGTTTTATTCCGCTCTTATAACCATGACCAAGCGAGGAAGCATAGCAATTAAGTCAGGAATCTTCACCTAGAGATAAGCGAACGCACAGAAACTTGTAAGTCGTAACAAAATATTTTATAGTATTATACATTTACAACTATATGAAAAAATTAGTGTTACGTTGTGTAACAATTTGTGTGTTAATGGTGCCTACTCCCGTCCAAACGGTGCCTCCACAGGAGTCACGTGTCGCAGCTGCTCACGTTCAAATGCTGCATAATGTTCCGTGCTGAAAATGGAAAAGAGATTCAAATAGTTACATATCCTCCTTATTTTTAATGATACAATTTGAATGGTCTCGACAGTTGGAATGGAAATGACATCTAAACATTCTTTGGTGAACCAGTTTGTTCGCCGTTAATGAACTAGCTAATTATCGTCATGTTGACAAAACTTGCCTTGAAAATAGCATGTATCATAATTGTCATCGGGTTGAGGAACAAACGGTGGGACGGTTTTCAGCGGATCGTTCCAGGGGAAGTCCTGGAAGAGACTCATAGTCCGCACTTCTTTGGCGGACGGACGCTCGTGTTGATCTAGTGTCAGAAGGGCATCGATGGCCTCTGTGGCTGCGACCGACAGAGCTTCGTTGTCCTCTGGCCATGGAATGTCTTTAGCTAAAATATTGGCAAAGACAGCTTGCGGTGTCTCGTCGTTAAACGGCGGTACACCGGTGCAGAATTCAAAAAGACAGACTCCCAAGGCCCACCAATCTACCGCCGAACCATGACCTTGTTTCAGAAGCAACTCTGGAGCCAAGTAATCCGGTGTTCCAAGTATACGGTCATCTGATCTGTTAGCACCAGATTGGCCGCCTCTTCTAACAGACTTTGGTGTTCTGTAAGGTGTGTAACAGTTACTTGAGCTTGCCGGTGTTTTGATAGGAGATATACTTTGAGGCGAACGGGCCTGGCCCGATATATCGCCAGGTGTATCGGTGACTGAACGCGACGTAGAAGCGGTGGGCAGTGGAAGCTGAAATCTTGTAGCTTTGACCAAGGTTACTATTTCTGGTTCATCTTTCTCCTCTTCCTCCTCGATGTTACATTTCTGTTGATTCCTCTCCTTTTGTTTCATGAATGACACTGGCGTACTGAAAGCGACTCTTCCGCCTGAACCAGTTTCTTGTCCTCCGTTTACATCGCTGATGTTATTCGATGGCTTCAACGATGCAGAGATATCGGAATTGTTAGGACTCCTGGAAAATATACAGCCCCGGTTTTTCCTTTTGGGCGTTTTGTCCATGTCCAAATCTATGGCGTTTATCTCGCATGTTAGACCCGTTGTACCCCCCGCAGGAGCCCTCTTTCTCTTCGCACCCCTTGCAAACATTGTCACGCATGTGCTCAACGGACTAGTATGGAAAACGGTATGCTGAGATTGCTCCGCTTCTAATGTAGACTCGTCTTCGTCGTCCCCATCTTGATTCAATTGACTATTAGCGCGGACTGAAGAAGCTTCGCAAGTGTGATAACTTCCAGAACTACTCTCCTGTTCCTCTCCGATACTTGTAGTTCTGATATTGTTTCCAAAGTGATCCCCTAACCGAAGGTCTTCGGCCGATTGAAAAGGTGTAATACCAGATACTCGAGAGTAGTCTCCCGACGCAGCAGAAGAAATAACCGAGTTCGGCGATGACTGGAACTTATTGCAATTTCGTTGTAAGGCAGGCAGCAAGTTAATGCCCGGCGTGCTTCCTTCACTGACATTCGAATCACTTGCGGATTTCTGTCCAGAACCAAAAGATAAGTGAGAAGTCAACGACAGAAGCTGCCCAGGTGTTCTTGTACAAAGACTGGGTGTACAATTTACTAAATCAGATATTTCGAGATCTCTGTGCAAAGATATGTTACTCAGTCCAAAGTCTGTCAGCTTGACATGCCCTTCTCGTGACAAAAGCATATTGTCTGGCTTTAAATCTCTGTGTACGATTCCATGGGAGTGAAGGTATTCCAACGCTAGACATACTTCCGCGGTATAAAAAGCTGCCATGGATTCTTCCATATAGCCATACACACCCAACAAACTCTTAAGATCTCCGCCCACCATGTACTCCATTACTAAGTAGACACTGCGTACAGATTGCAACGAATAAAATAATTGTACGCAATATGGACTATGAGTTATGGCCAATGCATTTCGCTCTATTATTACTTGCGAGGCCATGTTTTTGTTGATCATCTCATTTTTCTTCATCACTTTGATTGCATATACTTTCTCAGGATTAGATTTTTTGTACCCAAGGAATACTTTACCAAATGCTCCACGGCTTATAGGCTTTACAATTTTGAAATCCTGAATCTCTGGTACCTGACAATTAAACAATGTAAAATAGAAAAATCAGTCTGTTAATTATAGAGAATTATAATAAACGGAAAAGCATGGAATATATTTAAGATATACAATATCTAAACAATTTACTTAATACCTGATTCAATGGATATGCAAACACGTTGACAAGAAATAAGATAAAGTAGTTATATGATAATTGAATAGAATATTTTTTGTTTACCTTTGCTGCAGGATTCACGATTTTAGATATGGTATTAAAAATAGAATTGTCGATTTGTCTACTAGTCGATGCTTGCTGCGGTGTACACACCCCGTACGGAATCTCCTGTTCACATCCAATGTCATTGTTGATCTTACTTGCATTCTCATCATCTGTCTCAATGATTTGATCACTACTGTCTAGACGTGAATTTAGCGAGTGACCAGCCGCCTCTTCCATTTAAAAAAATAACCTAGGCGTGATCTTGTCGCGAACGTACGTAACGGAACGTCAAATACTATTGCTTCGGTTTATAAAATGAAACCGCAATTCACGAAACGCGAGGTTTTATTCATCGTTCTTTAATACTGTCCGTTTTTCTCATATGTAACATATGTAAATATACTTTAACGGCTATCTGACATTTTTTAATTTCACATGTGTACACACACATGGCGCATACATGTAGAGTTCAAGGCGTCAGAATGCTCGAACTACCAACAACTCTGAAATGTACTGCAGATTGGCGTCATAGAATCCCATTTGTGAAATCGCTCCTGCAGCACATTTCAAAGTAGTCTCCGAAAATGCTCTGTCTCTGTCATGTGTAGTTAATTCCATGTCCTGAATTAAACGCATTGAATTATACAGAGAACTTCCAATAAGGTTCCAAAACATAATATTTCTAATTCTTTTATATCTATTATTAACTATTAGCTCTTTGTAATTTAGTTCTCTGTGTAGAGATTATGTATTACGATATTAAGGACTACACACTAAACTGAAATATCATAGTTCCCGGCATTGAAACTTTTTTTATATTCTCACAACCCAACTAAGCAATAGTGCACAAAATATCATTATTCTACACTGTTCGCCGGATATTGTATGTCGTACAATGTACAAACTGTTTTTTTTAAATAAAGTTGTTAAAATTATAATATTACCATTCTCGCCCGAGATGACTTCATACAGGATATAATTAAAATAACATATGGCGATGATGATCACTTACATATTATGTACTGTACCACTTTCTATATATATATATATATGATGAGGTAACTGTATTATATTGAAATGTAGGGTTCTATAAGAAAATCCAACATAGGCAGTAGCAATATTGAGAAAGAAATCATGAGAGGTATGTGTCACACAATGTTTGTGTTGAAATCCGTAAGAGCAATGTTTAGTAACATATTAATTGTACTAAATTAACTATTATTTACAAGTGCATTTTACATTTCACTTATGTATTGTAATATACTTTG